TTACATTCAGGAAACAAATAACAGTGATTAGCCTTTCTATACCTAGGAAAAACTGCTTGCCTTTCATCTTAGTTGATAAATTGTATTTGTAATCCTCAGTATAGTCTCTTTAAGAATAAAGTTGACAAGACTTTTAATGTGCAGACATGGTTTGCATTTTGTGCAGTTTATCATCATTAACTCCCTAATATTTAGCAATGGTTTCTATCTCAGAGACTATAATTGAGATGAAGAAGGTTCATGCTTCAGGGGAAAAAAATCTTAGTTTCTTCAGTTCATAAGCATCACAATTATCAGTACTTCTCCTCGCCAGAGACCTCGGAGTACAGCAACCAATCTATGTAGACAGTACTGGGCAAGATAGAAAGTTGAACAAATGATCTGACCTAACATAGGACAGCTTCCTGTGATCGTTAGAGAAATTCAGGGAATAAAATTGGAATTAACAAACCATAAAGTTATCTCATTTTTCATCTAGGTGATGGGTTTTGGTCTCTATCTGATGGATGGAAATGTCAGTAATATTTACAAACTCGATGCAAAGAAGAGAATCAACCTCAGTAAAATTGATAAATTCTTCAAGGTCAGTGTTTGGTATTATTTTAGTTTGTGATTATTTCTGAAGGGATCTATAAACTCTTATATTCAGGTACTGTATAGAAATAACAAATACTAACCTGAATGATTGACATGCTAGGATCTAAAGTGCAACTAAATAGATGTATGACTTGGTTCTCACATCTCAATTGCCTCCCAGTTCCATTCCATTAATTTCCTGCAGATGTTCATGAAGAAAGTATTGCAACACCACTTCATGTTCATGGCCATACATAATTCATGCAATCAAAGCAGCAGGCCATAGGGTGAAAAACTTTCAACTCCCGTAAGTTATCCCTTTGTACCACTCTCTGATACAGACACTAGCTTGTGAGAGTAGTTTGCTATTGCTTACTAATTAAGGAAAGTGTTTTTCATTGCGAATTTTAACTCATCTTTATTATTTTCCTATAGCTGCACTCCTATCTGTTGCTGTTGAGATGTGACAGTATAACTGTTCATCTAGCACCTAGAACATTCTTGTTGTTTACTTGATATCTTTGTATTAATAGTCTTTGTTAATTAGTCTGGGTCCAAGAACCGTGCCATATATTGAAGCATCAGCCCAGTTTCAAACCTACTTCCACTGTTCAGACATGTGCCCTGAAAGAGTTCTGTTTTAGCCTTTTATGTCCTATATTTCCTCTTTTATGAAGGTTCCAGAGTGATGCCTGCAATTGACAAGAGGTAGCAGAGAAACTGATTTCTTCCAGATTCAGATTCTAGTTAAATGCCATATTTCAGAAATGAGAAACAGTACATGAATAGAGTCATCAGCATCATGATTTAATACTGCTGTGTCCCTGTCTGTTTAGTACATTGTGTAAATCCATAGCATATCTTTACACATATGGATTAGGCTTTTGTCTTCTATCCAGTACTATGTTTGCTGCATTAAAATGAGGAAAGCAAGAGAAATTAATTCATTAAATTATAGTCATTTTCTTTGGAACATGTCTAACCATTTCTTTCATACAGTTTAAAGATGCAATCTTTAGCCACCCATTTCATAGTATGCCATTGGGATAGAGCACAAAGAGAGGATGGTGGACAACCCTGGAGATAGTTGATTCAAGCAAGTCAACCAATCCACATGCTTCAAAGGAAAGTGGTGCAAAGGTGTAAAAAAAAGTCACATATTCTGATTTGAAACTCAGCTCAGCCTTGACAATAAATAATGACTACTTGTGATACCAGTCTCAAGTACTTTTGAATTAAAAGGGCTATTCAGTGTGTCAATCATTACGATTCTGCTATTTCCTAAGATTTGCACTCCAGTCAAGGTGAGATGTTTATTAATTTTATCTCAGTTTTATTTCCAAGAGATCTTGACTGTTGATTCCCCGGTTTTTGGATAGTCTCGCAGATTTTATTTTATTTATTTATTTACAGCATTTTTATCCCACTTTTTTCAACCTGAAGGTGACTCAGGGCGGTGTACAAATTGGCAACAATTAGATGCCACAACATACATACATACATACATACATACATACATCCGTTAAAAACATTTAAATCACATAATAAAATCCATATAAGAACCATTAAAACTATAATAATCAATGTCTTAGAATCATAGAATCATAGAATCAAAGAGTTGGAAGAGACCTCATGGGCCATCCAGTCCAACCCCCTGCCAAGAAGCAGGAATATTGCATTCAAATCACCCCTGACAAATGGCCATCCAACCTCTGCTTAAAAGCTTCCAAAGAAGGAGCCTCCACCACACTCCGGGGCAGAGAGTTCCACTGCTGAACGGCTCTCACAGTCAGGAAGTTCTTCCTAATGTTCAGATGGAATCTCCTCTCTTGTAGTTTGAAGCCATTGTTCCGCGTCTAGTCTCCAAGGAAGCAGAAAACAAGCTTGCTCCCTCCTCCCTGTGGCTTCCTCTCACATATTTATACATGGCTATCATATCTCCTCTCAGCCTTCTCTTCTTCAGGCTAAACATGCCCAGTTCCCTAAGCCGCCCCTCATAGGGCTTGTTCTCCAGACCCTTGATCATTTTAGTCGCCCTCCTCTGGACACATTCCAGCTTGTCAATATCTCTCTTGATTGTGGTGCCCAGAATTGGACACAATATTCCAGATGTGGTCTAACCAAAGCAGAATAGAGGGGTAGCATTACTTCCTTAGATCTAGACACTATGCTCCTATTGATGCAGGCCAAATCCCATTGGCTTTTTTTGCCGCCACATCACATTGTTGGCTCATGTTTAACTTGTTGTCCACGAGGACTCCAAGATCTTTTTCACACGTACTGCTCTCGAGCCAGGCGTCCCCATTCTGTATCTTTGCATTTCGTTTTTCCTGCCAAAGTGGAGTATCTTACATTTGTCCCTGTTGAACTTCATTTTGTTAGTTTTGGCCCATCTCTCTAATCTGTTAAGATTATTTTGAATTCTGCTCTTGTCTTCTGGAGTATTGGCTCTCCCTCCCAATTTGGTGTCGTCTGCAAACTTGATGATCCTGCCTTCTAGCCCTTCATCTAAGTCATTAATAAAGATGTTGAACAGGACCGGGCCCAGGACGGAACCCTGCGGCACTCCACTTGTCACTTCTTTCCAGGATGAAGAGGAAGCATTGGTGAGCACCCTCTGGGTTCGTCCACTTAACCAATTACAGATCCACCTCACCGTAGTTTTGCCTAGCCCATATTGGACTAGTTTCCTTGCCAGAAGGTCATGGGGGACCTTGTCGAAGGCCTTACTGAAATCCAGGTACGCTACATCCACGGCATTCCCCGCATCTACCCAGCTTGTAACTCTATCGAAAAAAGAGATCAGATTAGTCTGGCATGGCTTGTTTTTGATAAATCCATGTTGACTATTAGCGATGACTGCATTTGTTTCTAAGTGTTTGCAGACCGCTTCCTTAACAATCTTTTCCAGAATCTTGCCCGGTATCGACGTGAGGCTGACCGGACGGTAGTTGTTTGGGTCATCTTTTTTCCCTTCTTGAAGATTGGGACCACATTGGCCCTCCTCCAATCTGCTGGAACTTCTCCCGTTCTCCAAGAACTCTCAAAGATGGTTGCCAATGGTTCCGAAATGACTTCCGCTAGTTCCTTCAATACTCTGGGGTGTAGTTGATCTGGCCCTGGGGACTTGAACTCGTTAAGAGCGGCCAGGTATTCCTGGACGACTTCTTTCCCAATTTGGAGTTGGATGTCCTCCAATCCCAGTTCAACTCCTCACAATTCAACTCCTTTCCCAGTTTTGGGAAATTGTCACGTATTCAGGCATTTTAAAGTATTTCTGTATCATCTCCAATTTATCAATACAGTCATCAAGAAAAAGTATTTTCTTATAGATGCTCCTTATCCAAGTTTTGTTGGATTTATGAACCTCATTAAGATCTCTAGAGAAAGAAAGAATATCCAGAAGTATTTGGGATATGGTTGAAAATGTGTTGCTCAAGTGTGCAAAATGTGCATGTTTCTCTTTGCATTTGAAGCAGAATTTTCTCTTTTGCAAATTATATGAATGCCCAGAAAATTTTGCATAGAATATTCTACTTTGTGTGCATAAAAGTGTGGATTTTTCACAAAATAACTGGCCAACTACAGCATTTTCTAAGCAGGAAACTACATTTTCATGTTGTACTTCATATTGTACTTACTTCACTCTGCTACACACAGAATAGTCAGAAGAATTGTTTCTGTGTTGAAATGACAATACGTTTCCCCATATTTTAATTTTGGATGCATACATAATAGTAATAGTAATAGTATTGCATGCTTGTTCCATTTTTGTAAGTCTGTGCTTTTAAACAATCAAATCTCATAATAGAGAATAATGTTGGGGTGCAGCTGGGTGCAATATGCTCTTATGCTCATTTTTGACTGGAAGTCAATATGAAGCTTCGTTCACAATCTGTTCTCGAATTATGGGGATTTTTGGGGGGGGGGAGGCTGGGGCGGGTCACTGTTTTTTGTTAATGTACTTCCAGTTCTTGAATTTTGCAAGCTAAAAAAGAATATTGCAATTGATTATTTTGTATTTTTAAATGTTTCTTTTGACGTAGTGGAGCAATACCATATTGAGACAAAATTAGATAAAAATTCTCACCATATTGGATTATTGTCAAGTCAGTATTGTGTGAATCTGGTTTTAGTTTCCATTTAATTTGTCTCTGCAGCATTTTTTGTATTTATCTAGTTCATCTTAATATTGCTGTTTTCTTCACCCAAGTGTTGTTGGGACCACTGTTCCAGAACTTCTACAGATCTGCTTGCTTATATTGCTCTCTCAGACAAAGAGACCCTCTCTGCCTTATTTAAACCATCTTTTGTTTTTTCTTCCAGCAGCTGCAGGTGGTTCCTTTATTCGGCGATATGCAGATAGAGCTGGCCAGATACATTAAGACCAGTGCTCACTATGAGGAGAACAAATCCAAGTGAGTGCCTGCCATAATGTCTCTTGGCTTTGGTGTGTCCTGGTCAAGAGAGGAAGTTGTCAAGACCTTGCAACTCTCCTACTCTCTCGTGTGCGAGATCTGTGCATGGGTGCCTGTGAGCATGTGTCCATGTGATTATGTTATTGAGCATGGCTCCATAAGAGAGAGTGTATTGGTTGGTGTAGGGTGTGTGTGTGCGTTCATCATTTTTATCCTTTCATAACTGTACCTTGATTACTCAGTGGAAGCTGTCTAGGCATATGCATAACAAGATGTGCTTCAGCCCTCTGATACCAATTGAAATATACCTGTTGAAATCAGTGGGCTGGATGTAACATAGCTGTTATCCTCTCACACAGAGCTCCCAATCTTCAGCAGTCTCAGAAGTAGAAGTTAATTCATGAGACAGAAATCTCTTTGAACATTGATAGCTGTTAATTACAATTACTTTTGAATGCTTACTCTGCATCTAGGAAATTCTCAAGATGTTTTGCTGCCTGAGAAAAGGATAAGATCACATCTGTAGACCCTTAGTACCATGGAGAGAAGTTGACTGGCTTGATAGTAAGACAAGATGCTCCACCATGCCTGATAATAATCTGGCTGAAAGGTTGTAGAATAGAAGCAGCTGCCACTTACACATAACCAGAATTTACAATATGAGACGGTTGTCTCATTCTGTCTGGCCCTGTTTTCAGCCTTTCCTGGTTTTTCACTGATTTAGTTCAGTCTTTGAACATTCCAGATGTGTTAGATTGTAACAAAATTCCCATGTTAATTGAATTCATACAAGGCAGAATAGAATTATAGACTTGGAAGGACCCCGATGGGCCATCAGGTCTGAACCTCTGCTCAGTACAGATTCTCCAGCATAAGCATCCCCAGCAGATAGCTGTCCAGTCTGTCTTTGAAGATGTCCAGAGAAGGAGGTCTCACCACCTCTCTAGGCAATTGGCTCCATTACCAAACCACTCTTACTGTCAAGAAGATAGTGTCATGTTCTAACAGTTCTTGGGAGGAATTTAATATGACTGATTTGCCTTAAGATGGCAGCATAAACTTCTGAAAGCATGGAACTCACATTCTACTTAGTCCAAGGCCTGTGTTCTTCCTTCAGGCCTCTTCTCATAAGAGACACCCAAAGATAGGCCAGGCTTCCACCACACCATAGATGTTTTATGGACAATTAAGCTCTTACTTCCAGAATAGAGCGTTGATATTCCCTGAGAACTCTTCCAGGTCATGTTGTTTCTGACATCTTGTCTCAAATTACCTTCTTCCTATTTCCTGCTACCTGCCACCCCATTGCTTGCTGCTTCCACCTGTTTTGTCATTCACTTTTCTTTTTTTTTAACCTATAGGGCCTTATTCAAATCTTCTGCTGATCTCTGATATAATGCTACAAGACATTTTGCTTGCACTTACAAAGATCCATATTGCTTCCTGTCTGAACACATCCCACTTCACCTGTCCCATATCATGTGCCGTGATCATGCCCTAACCCTTTGCTTGGACTCATTATTTCCTATTTCTCCACATCATTCTGTCAGGCTTGCTGACCCCATTGTTAGAATAAAAATATTCAAAAAAGAATGTATGCCTTTGTGACTTCAAGTCTGAATGATTTCTCATGGTATAGTCTGAGAAAGTATATTCCCATGTGACTGAACACTAGTATATGGGTGCCTGTGAGGATGTGGATACTTAACAAGAGCATATGATGGACTAATAGGTGTGCATGAGGATGAGAGTGAGTTAATGGTTGAATGGTTGTGTATGGAATGTGTTTATGTGACAGCACAAACAGACTTTGAGTGTAACTTTATAAGTGTGTTAGGAAATGCTGTGAATGTGGTTGAGAATGTCCATTGTCTGTTCTAGCACCTGCACTGTCTCGTGTTTGTATGCTGATGATTGTGAATGTGGATATGAATGAAATGTGCTGGGATTGTGTGCCTGCTCTGGATAGTTTTTATCCACATTTTTCAATAGGATATAAAATTCTCCAGAGCATGGACACAGCATTTTCTCTATCTGTCCAGTATAGGCTGTTTTTGGGAGGGTGCAGGAAGAGAACATCAAATGAAATGCAGAGTTAACTAGTTCAAGCTAAAGTATCTTTCAAGAGAATTTTTGTTAGGGATTAAAATCACATGGGGAGAAAACCTCTGGACGTAGAAACTGAACACCACAATGCATATGCAAAATGACTGTGCTGTCTTTGAGAATATTGTAAATCCCTCATGAAAGATAAATGTAAACAGATGTGAAGGTCAAATTAAACATTTATTTGAAGATCTTCCAGATGAATTCATGCATGTGAGAAGATGCGTGGGTAGCCTGTTGAACACTCAACAGTCTCTATATAGTTATGTTTCAAGCAGCCAAGCAAGTAGCCGCTTCCATATCTGATTGTAATGACAGCTGTGAAGTTTGTTAGATGTGGCAATAATATCTGTGCAGAGACCACCAGGTTAGTTAGAACAGATCTCTCACCTGGTAGATATTTAATACTATATTTAGCTTTTCATTGCACTCTACAAATTCATCCTTTTGTTCTGTGAAGTGACCATATATACAGTCATTGTGTGTGGAACTTATTACATGATGCTTTTTAAGTGTAGATGAAGACCAGAGCTGGAAAAGGATATTTTTGGGGATGACAGTTCCCAGAATGTCTTTGTCAGCATGTTGGCTGGGGGACTCTAGTATTCTGGCAAAAAGGTAATCTTTTCAATCTCTGAAGATGGCGAGGACCCAGGAAGCCAATGATCACAGGAGAATGTCTATTACAGGAAGTAATCTGTCTACAGAAAGTCTGGTTTCAATATAACCTGGTGAAAATGGCAGTATTCTTAGAGTGCATAGTTATTTTATTTTTTGTTGTTGATGAGTCTAAAAGAAGACTAAAAATCATGTGGACCTACATATGTTATCAGATTGCAGTTCCTAGCGGCTCTACACAATAGTGAGGAATGCTGAGAGTTGTTATTCTCTGAGGGCAACACAATTCTCACTCTTGTCTAATGGTATCAATAAGAGGTTTTACTCACTATCATATATGTTTGTTTGTTTTTTGCTATTCATAGCTAATCTTTATCTCATCTATTGAAATCCTAATCTTAGCTGGATCAACAAAATCTAGGAAGGTCTTATCAAAACTGTTTGAAAATGTGTGTGTCTTTAATCCCATTTCTAATACCTCCTGTTCATCTCAATTGTCAAAATGTGAGATTTTTTTCCTGTTGTCCTCACTAACAGTTACTTTCTCATTCAGTTTCCAAACAGGGCAGCATGGCCCCTGCAGCTCTCTTCCCTGGAGAAGAGAATTTGAATATTGACTGATTGCATGACTCTTTCCCTATGTTCCTGCACTTCCATGCCCTTTCCTTTCCTTTCCTTTCCTTTATCCATTCCACCTTTGTGCTGAGATGCAATTAACTGTGTTTTTCTTTTATGGAAGATTAGATTATATGTGGCAGGCTGGGCTACCATAGCCAAGTCTCTAACCATGCCTGTTAACCTGTTGATTCCTTTGGGGAAAATGCAAAACTGAAAGGGTAAGAGTAAAGTGTTGGGACTGTCGGACTTCTGGAAATGCAGTTGAGCATGATTATTGACAGCATAGTTAACATAAATGCCTCTACCACAGAGATCTAGTACAAATTCAAAAAGCATAACACACCCATCCCACAAAAAAAATTAACTCCATGTGGCTCATGATACAAAACAAGAAACAAATTTTGAATTAGGAATCATTTTACATGGCAGAACACTAATAAAATGTGTTCTGCCATGTAACAAGTGAATAATTTGTACAAGTGAACAAGTGAATAATTTGTAACTGTTGAAGGTAAAGAGTAATGAATGGATAGGTGCAGATATCATATAATGTTGTTGGCATTATATGATGCTTAAATTTACAAGCCATGCTTTTACATCAGTTAGTAACCTAAAATCAGACATTGTTTAGGCTGACAGTGGTGGTCTGATTGACTATCCATAAGAACTATTGGTTCTATATGTGCCCTCTTTCTATGAAAGATACTGAAGACCAGTCTTCATTTCTATCAGCATTTATTTTCCAGGCTACAGTTTAGTTTGTTGCCTAAGACATTGCTGTTAGTCCAGTTTCCTCATGATTACAAGGTAAGTGAAATATAGGTATATAAAGATGTTGTGCAAGTTAAGGGCATCATAGGGATGTCCATAGTAAATAGCTGCTATATAATGTCATACAAGTTGGACCTACCTTCACCAACAAGGTGTGTTGTTGTTTATTCGTTCAGTCGTCTCCGACTCTTCTTGACCTCATGGACCAGCCCACGCCAGAGCTCCCTGTCGGCTGTTACCACCCCCAGCTCCCTCAAGGTCAGTCCAGTCACTTCAAGGATGCCATCCATCCATCTTGCCCTTGGTCGGCCCCTCTTCCTTTTGCCTTCCACTTTCCCCAGCATAATTGTCTTCTCTAGGCTTTCCTGTCTCCTCATGATGTGGCCAAAGTACTTCAACTTTGTCTCTAGTATCTTTCCCTCCAGTGAGCAGTCGGGCTTTATTTCCTGGAGGATGGAAAACTGGAAAACTAAATGGACCAGTACAACAAGGTGTGGCAGATGTCTATAATTAAGTGCAATAGCAAGTGAAAGCACACTAAGTATAGCATCATTCTTGTCGAATTACTGAAGTAAAGCAAAGCGTTTGAAGTAGTAACTTGCACTGTAATAAGAATTAATTTAAAGGCATTGGTTTTTCTGCCCAGGTGGACATGTACTCAAAGCAGCATCAGTCCCCAGTACAACATTTGTGAACAGATGGTACAGATCCGAGATGATCACATCCGTTTTATCTCTGAACTTGCTCGCTACAGCAACAGTGAGGTGAGAATTTGTGAAAAGGAAAGCAAGCTCCACTTGGCACAGTCCAGAAGATGAAACAGGAAAAGTTGTGTGTATGCTCACACCATATTGGTAGTGAAATCAATAGGCAAACAAACATAACCTCTGAGACTAAGGCCTCTTTCATTAAAGTGGTGGTAAACTCCCTCTCAGAATCTGTGGATAATTACAGTGGCTGCTACAGTAAATGAGAATTGGTTTGCCCAGTTTTGTTTACCTTTACTGGTAGTGGTTCTCCAAGTACTGTGGCAGAACCTGATCTTTTTTAGCATTGTTGTAGTCCTTTTTCTCCAGAAATACCTGAGTTTCAATCAGGGACTTCTGGCATTCAAAGCAATGTATATTCCATTGCTTCCACTCAATTCCTCTGTTTTCTTCTATTTTACATCCCATTGCATCCACTGTTTGCACTCCACAGTTTTATCCAACATCTTATTTTTTTAATAATGTTTATACAAATAAACTTCCAGTACAATGAACATAAACTAAACAGATTAAGGAAATGTAGTAACAATTGAGAGGGAGATGAAGACTGGGATAATTGACATACCTCAAAAATAGTTACTGAATTCCATGAAAAAGCATCTCATGTGACAGATGGTAAGTGTTAATTTTCTTTTCATCATGTTGTTAATTTCTGTGAATACACTATCCCAAAACTCCTCTGCCAGACACAAACATCTCAAATTTCTTGACACTTATTCTAACATTTTTCTGAAATAGTTTTGAAGGGTTTTGGTGCTCTTGCTTGGCCAGTGCACTTATTATCCTTCAGATAATGTATCCTTCAGAAGAATAGCTGCCTGTCTTCTCTTTTCAGGTTGTGACTGGCTCCGGCTTGGACAGCCAGAAATCAGATGAAGAATACAGAGAGCTTTTTGACCTGGCTTTACGAGGCCTGCAGCTTTTGTCTAAGTGGAGTGCCCATGTTATGGAAGTGGTAGGTATTGGCCAAGACCATCATCTTAGACATGCTTTATCATTAGGTATAATGGTTTGTCATTACACCTAATGAGCCCCTAGTGGCACAGTGGGTTAAACCCCTGTGCCAGCAGGACTGAAGACCGACAGGTCACAGGTTCAAATCCGGGGAGAGGCGGATGAGCTCCCTCTATCAGCTCCAGCTCCTCATGCGGGGACATGAGAGAAGCCTCCCACAAGGATGATAAAAACATCAAATCATCCGGGCATCCCCTGGTCAATGTCCTTGCAGACAGCCAATTCTCTCACACCAGAAGCAACTTGCAGTTTCTCAAGTCACTCCTGACACGACAAAAAAAATGGTTTGTCATAAAGACTGTTGGTTTCTTTCTTTGTTTATAATCCACATTTCTCCCCAAAATGATACTCAGGGTGGTTCTTTTGATGAGAAATGCATGTAAATATTGCTCACAGGCCCACATACCATAGCATTAGGAAAATAGAGGGTTTGTGTATAGTGGAAAGATTGTGTGATCTTCAAATGGTTTCCCCAAAATAGCAACAGTCTGTAGCTAAATTGTTCCTGCTTTTATTTTCTTTGCTCAGTATTCCTGGAAACTGGTCCATCCTACCGATAAGTTTTGTAACAAAGATTGCCCAGGCACCGCCGAGGAATATGAGAGAGCCACACGGTATAATTATACCAGTGAGGAAAAATTTGCTTTTGTTGAGGTGAGTGGTCATTTTAGTTTGTTGTCTCAAAACAATCTTTCTTTTGAAAGACGACTGAAGTATCAATTTGGGTAAGTTGACACAGTTTCTTCATATTTCTGTTTGTTCAATAACAGCATGATTCAGTTTTAGCAGAAAAACTGCTGTGTATTTGCACAAATATGAACATTGGAAAAACATTTATCATACAAAACTAAAATTACTTTTAAAATGGACTAAGATTTTCTTCCCAGAATGGAATAACATATTTATAACAAAGTTTAACAAGAACGATTAAACAATCAAACTGTAAAACAAATTACTTACACAAATCGAAAATTCATACAGTTAGCATATGCACAGCTCCCACAACCATGGATTCAGCCACAGCTTGAAAGTATCCTCCCTGAAATAAAATTCAAAAAAATGAACGTTGATTTTCCATTTTGAATAAGGGATTCTGTTTTTCGATGCCATTATATAAAATGGGACTTGAGCATCCATGGATTTTAATTACCAATTGGGGAGGAGGGGGGGGGGGTTTCCTGGAATCAAAGTCCAGTGGATACCAAGAGCCTTCTAAACTTTATTTACTACAGAAGGAACAATTACATAATGTTCCCATTTTCTTTTTAATTTTTCAGGTGATTGCTATGATAAAAGGTCTCCAAGTACTTATGGGTCGCATGGAGAGTGTCTTCAATCAGGCCATCAGGAACACAATCTATGCTGCTCTGCAGGATTTTGCCCAGGTGACTCTTAGAGAGCCACTGAGGCAAGCTGTGAGGAAGAAGAAGAATGTTCTCATCAGGTGAGATGTGACTTTGACAAGCAAAACTTCCCATCTCATCATCATTATAGGCAATCTCTCATGACTGAGTATGACTGTCTTCCAAGGGTAGAGTCTTTATGGTGGGTCCATAAGTAACTGTAGAGACCGATTCCAGATCCTCATGGTCTTTTGCAGTGAGGACATAGATTTCCAGATGGAAGGCAATCACAATAAGGGTTTGCTTGATGCACCTTTCTCTGGGTAGATATCTCCCTTTCCCCCTCTATTAATGCTTTTTCAAAATCCATAGCACTGTTGGTAACCGTGCTAAGGCCTGGGCTTCCCAGTTCTCAGTGTTTATACCACATATGTTAAGGTTAACTTTTAATCCATCTTTAAATCTCTTTTGTTGTCCGCCAACATTCCATTTTCTGTTCTTGTGAAAGACCATTGTGAAAGACCATGTGGACCTACCGCCAAAACTTTATCCTTGGAAGACAATAATACTTGGCTACAAGTGATTGCTGCTGCTGATGGTGATGATGATATTTATGCAAACATCCCATTTTCAATATGCAATTTATTATGTGCTACTTTGAGCAAAGCATTCGCGCATAGATATGGAACAGTATATATGCAAAGCATTTTCTCCATAAAAATTCAACATTTTTAAAAATATGTGTACAGTATACTTAACTATAGAGAAGACAATTATGCTGGGGAAAGTGGAAGGCAAAAGGAAGAGGGGCCGACCAAGGGCAAGATGGATGGATGGCATCCTTGAAGTGACTGGACTGACCTTGAGGGAGCTGGGGGTGGTAACGGCCGACAGGGAGCTCTGGCGTGGGCTGGTCCATGAGGTCACGAAGAGTCGGAGACGACTGAATGAATGAACAACAACATACTTAACTATGATAATATAATCTGCTCTCCTTCCAGGAAATTCTGCACAACTTATATATGGTTCCCATGTGTTGTTGTTTTTTCTTTATGAGATCCTTCCCTGGTCTTATCAATGTTTCAATTCAGATATGTCGGGGAAAACTAAGAGGAATTTTAACTTAATATTTTATCTTAGTTTTATTCTACTATTTTAAAATAACTATGGGAAAGTGATTTGTTTAGCACCATCAATGTACATTTGGGTTATATTTTCTGATACTCTAGTTGTGAATTGGAAACTCTCCCATAGAAATTATTTTGGGAGTATCAAGGCAAGGCCACCTTAACATTCTGTCACAGAATCCAGACATTTCCCCGACTTTGCATAGCTCAAGGGCAAGGCCATGTTAAGGTGGTCTTGACTTGCATTACCCTGGATTAGTTCTGTGTAGTGTTTTGATGCCACAAGTCTGATACTCCTCTACACTGACCTAAATCGTCAGTATAGAGAGGTCACAGAGTACCTTGAACTTCCTCTCTTTGCTCCTCCTCCTTCCTCTTTTTGGCTATCCATTGCACTTACCACCGCAGTTGCCACCCATTTGAAATTGAAAATCCTTGGTAAGGATAGGGATGGGGAAGGCAATGTGTTAAATATGAACATTGCTGCCATATTGTTTCCCAGAAAAAAATGCATAATTTGCTCATTTTATGGAATAAAAAGGTAGTTTATTTCTGGTTTAATGCATATGTGTACTGATACACATATACATTATATTTTACACTAAAATGCCACATCTCAATATAAACAATGGTAATAAAAGACTAAAATAAAATATAGCTTCTACCTATCTTTTCTGTGGTCATACAGTAATTCCTAGTCTTTTGCTTATGTCCCATAATAATTTAAAATGTTAGTTAATTTGTAAAATTAACTTACATCAGTAGGTAAAGCAATAATCATCATCTTATTACCTTCATTATTTGTCAAAAAGTCAGTTGGTGTTTCTAAACTCTAAAGAAAGATGTTAACAGCTTTTTCCCAAACAAAATAGGCAGTTTATTCATTTCTGCCAATTCATTTCATTAATGTAAATATCAACCTATTGGTCCTGATATCATGTTAGATCGTACTGCAGAAAAAGTCACTGCGCTGATTTCATTCAGTAAGTGTCTTGGCAGAATGCTGACCTAATTCTATTTTCAATCCTCTTTTTAGTGTCCTTCAGGCAATTAGAAAGACCATCTGCGACTGGGAGGGAGGACGCGAGCCTCCAAATGACCCTTGCCTGAGGGGAGAAAAGGACCCCAAAGGTGGTTTTGATATCAAGGTCCCACGGCGAGCTGTAGGGCCTTCTAGCACACAGGTATGTGTTTCCCTCTCTATTTAGAACACATTGGAACAGAAATGCGTGTTTATGGAAATTTTAAACAGCTTTGTTTTACTGTATTTTCTTCAATACCAATTTTATTATAATTCCTACACAAGTTGCCTGCAAGGAGCCTCCCTCTCATTACCAAACAGGTGGTCAATGCTGTTAACTGAGCCAGTGCTGCTCATAACTTAAGTGGTTTGTTAGTTTGCTTAGACCTGATACGTAATTTCATGAAAATCCCAGAATTTATCCTGCAATATCTATTTAGAAGAGCCAGTGTAGTTTGAATGTTGGACTAGGACTCTGGGAGAGCACGGTTTGAATCCCTGCTCAGCCATGAAAACATCCAGGGCGACCTTGAGCAAGTTACACTCAGCCTAAGAGGAAGCCAGTGGCAAACCTTCTCTGTATAAATGTTGCCAATAAAACCCTAGGGGAAGGTTACCATAATCACCTTGAATTCACAGAATAAATTTACCTGTTATAATCATATTCTGCTTTTCCTTCACTTTGTCCTAACCATGCCTCTTTCCACCTTTATCAACAACAACAAGCAAGATCACCTACAGTACATTAATCTCTCTACTGCCTTATCACTGCACTGGTTCTCTGTTACATGCAAAGTATAATAAATACTAGATCGCTTTGGAGATTTTTGCTCTCTCCTCAACAAGTCTGGGTCTGTTGCATAATACAAACACTTCTTTGTTCTCATTGGTCTAATTACCTTATCACTGCCTTAATCCTGACACCCAAAATTTGATCCCTTTAGTCTTTAGTGTGACATGGCAAAACTCACTTTTTGTCTCAGTTTTTCTGAAAATCTGGTTTGTTGCTGTGTTTTGCTATGTGTATACAATCTAGTTTGGGATGGCTTCGGGGGAGTTGGGACAAGATAGATTGCTGGGATGGCAAGCATCACCATTTTTTAAAAAGGTGTCCAGTTCTACTTGATTGATTGCATGCTGTCTAACATTACAGATCACATTAATTCATTTGATTTAATTGGGACTAATAATTGGATTTTCCTATAGAAAATGCTGCATTTGTAAAGACTGTAATAACAACATGTAGTGTCTCCTTACAGCTTTACATGGTGAGAACTATGCTGGAATCCCTCATTGCAGATAAGAGTGGCTCAAAGAAGACCCTCAGGAGCAGCCTGGATGGACCCATAGTGCTGGCTATTGAAGAATTCCACAAACAGTCCTTTTTCTTTACTCATCTTCTCAATATAAGTGGTATGTAGTATTGGCAATTCTCATGTGAAAACACTGTTGATTTGAGTCAGATTTTTTTTAAAAAAAACAAAACAAACAAACAGATCCTAGCCCACACCACATCGTTAGTCACAACTTAATTGTTGTTGGGTCTGAACTTGATTTTTATGAAGAATTGCTGGTATTTAAACTGGTTTATTAAATATTAGTTCAAGAATAGTGTATATACATATTTTGCAGAAAAATGGTGTATAGCATTTTGTGTATTCTGTTTTTTAATATTGAATGTGTATTCAACATCACTACTTTTAATTATATTTTTTAAACAATTAGATTGCAGAATTGTCAATCTGTACATCATACTTCTTTATTAGCATTAAATCTTTATTTTGCTTGGTGGTGGGGTAACACTGTATGTTTTCAGAGGCCCTCCAGCAGTGCTGCGATCTGTCCCAACTTTGGTTCCGAGAATTTTTTCTGGAATTGACCATGGGCCGCCGAATTCAGTTTCCTATTGAGATGTCTATGCCTTGGATTCTCACAGACCACATCCTGGAAACCAAAGAACCTTCCATGATGGAGTAAGAGCTAAAAGATTATTTTTACTCCTGTGAATATACATATTGGGTTTTCAGCTGTCTAGAAGGCTGTCTAGACATAAGAATGGGGTGGCTAGGTGCATGACAATAGTCAGCTGCCATAAGATTGTTTGCATTTTGGGGTCTCCTTGGCCAAAAAACAATGGAAATATATTTTGATGATCAACCACATAATAACAAAACCAGACATATAAAGCTGGTTTGAGAAAGGGCTTTGACCTAAAAAATATTTAAGTTGGAATTGAACCTGGTAAGGAGCCAGGGAAGGGAGCAACTTGATGCAGGTTCAAATGAGGACAGGTGCCAACCCTAAGCTATCCTCTCAGCCTTCCTGACTGAAATACCTGAGTCCCAAAGGCAATCCAGTAGTTAGGTTGCTTACTGGTTGACCGTTTAGTGGACAGTAAACTTGGGTCACACATCCCCAGATCTCAGGACAATATAAGTGAGAACAAGCCCCCAGGTCAGCCCCAAGAGTAGACTTCTTCTCCATCCAGAGGTCAGAGAACCTGCAGGAGCTATTCCCTTCACCAAAAGCTACCTGCCATTGCCAGCCTATTCACTGACACTACCAGTTTATGCCAGTGTGTGTGTGTGTGTATTACAGAAGTGACAGCCAATAAGGTGTAGTAGTTTGAGTATTGGGTTAGAAATCTGGAGAGCAAGGTTGCTCAAATCATGAAAATCCATTGGGTGATCTTAGGCAAGTTATATTCTCTCAGCCTTAGAGCAGGACAAAGGCAACCCTCCACTGAACAAATCTTGTCAAGAAAACCTCATGATAGGTTTACTTCGAGTTGTCATAAGTCAGAAATGATTTGAAGGCAAACATCAGCAAGTTGAAAAATGAACGTGCCTGGTCCACTTGGTTTTGATGCTATTTATTTATCGTGTCAGGAGCAGACTAAACAGTTGTACTGCATTTTTTTAACAAACAAACAAAACACAAAGTTTTCAAGCTTGGTAGTTGACTAAATGTCCTTTGACCAGTAGCTGGCCACTTGGAGTGCCTCTGGTGTTACGATAAGAAGGTCCTCCATGGTGCATGTAGCAGGGCTCAGGTTGCATTGCAGCAGGTGGTCAGTGGTTGGGCTTCTCCATACTCGCATGTCGTGGATTCCACTTTGTAGCTCCATTTCTTAAAGTTGGCTCTGCATCTTGTGGTACCAGAGTGCAGTCTATTCAGCGCCTTCCAAGTCGCCCAGTTTTCTATGTGCCCAGCGGGGAGTCTCTCATTTGGTATCAGCCATTGATTGAGGTTCTGAGTTTGAGCCTGCCACTTTTGCGCATTTGATTATGCTTTTCCTGTATAGCAGAGGGGTTGGACAGGGGGTTTACCCATGTGGTCTCTTCCAACTCTGTGATTCTATGATTCTGTTCATGGGTATCCCTTTTTTTTGCAGGTATGTGCTCTATCCATTGGACCTCTACAATGACAGTGCATATTATGCTTTGACCAAATTTAAAAAGCAGTTTCTCTATGATGAAATTGAAGCAGAAGTGAGTTTGTTTCCCATTTTTTTTACTGATGATTTATTTTTATTTCATAAAAAGCTTGTTCACAATTATCCATGTTTATTCTTTACCTTTTTTTTCTTCCTTCTACTAGGTTAACCTGTGTTTTGATCAGTTTGTGTATAAACTGGCAGACCAAATCTTTGCTTATTATAAAGCAATGGCTGGGAGGTATGACACTTCCATTGGTTTTTCCTCTCATACTAAAACATGTTTATTTTGGTCAAGCTCAGGACTTTTGTTATATCAGGTGACTTGCATTTCTATAAGAGTTGATTACTTCTGTATCTGAAGATCATTAGCACTTATAATGAAATACTATCATTTCCGTTCTCCGGGCTCCATGTTTCAGCATTGTATAGAGCAGTGGTTCTCAACCTGTGGGTCCCCAGATGTTGGCCTTCAACTCCCAGAAATCTTTAACAACTGGTTAAACTGGCTGGGATTCCTGGGAGTTGTAGGCCAAAACACCTGGGGACCCACAGGTTGAGAACCACGGGCATAGAGGAATTGAGTGGCAAGGATTTGGGATCTTAGGGCCCTTCCACACAGCCCTATATCCCAGAATATCAAGGCAGAAAATCCCACATTATCTGAGTGTGGACTCAGATAACCCAGTTCAAAGTAGATATTGTGGGATTTTCTGCCTTGATATTCTGGGATATAGGGCTGTGTGGAAGGGCCCTTATTCTCATATGTCATGAGAAAGAATTGACATCCTGCAAACTATTTGGCCTTCTCTTCTTCAATATTGTGTACTTCGATTTCACAATGCAGGCACCACAACTGCAGCTGGTACAGATCTTAGGACTGCACCTGTATCGAGGGCAGGATCTACACTGCCTTATAATGCAGTTTGAACTGTATTGTACTGCATGATATGGATCTTCACAATTGTAGATCCAGCCTTTGTGTAATTCATGTGCTAATCAGAGGAGGTTACATTGGGGGAATATAGGTAGAGTTTGGAGTGCATATATAAAATTCCCATTTTTACCAATAGGCCTATATTCAACCTGTTTTTCTGAAAAATAGTATTATGAATATTAGTATTAGCTTCAAAGTAATAGCATAAAGTGAGGTGCTTTAACTACAACAAGAAATAAAGGAATGAAATATTTTTTTATTAATGACACAAGTCATTAATGACAAAATAGACCAGTCTACATGCTGTTGGAAGTCCCAAGCAGAGTCGACTCCTTGAATCAGTTCTTGAACAAGGAGTCAATATTAAAGTAAATGTCATTGACTCACTACGTCTTCATTAGTTGATATTAATAATTGGAAATAAGACCTTTATAGTGTTTTCTAGCCTAGTTCACTCTAGTTCAGGGATGGGCAAATGTATGGCACCCAGGGACTATTCAGCCTCCCTGCCATAAAGACCATACACTAATAGCAGGTTCAAAAAATTTGCTTTGCAGTCCGCCTCCACTTTGCTTTGTAGTCCCCCTCCAAATGATGGCAGAAAGCAATATTCTAGCTTGCCTATGGAGTTCAGGATGCTTGTGAGATAGCAATATTTTAATGTATTTCTCCATGTTTGGACCAAGCTTTCTACTTGAATTGGGAGGCAAAATTCTATACAAATCATGCTGAATTTTTTTAAATTGGAGTGCAGATTTGGGAGAATTTGGATTTCAGAGCTCATTGGGGAAGAAGGTCTAGGGACTGCATCTGGCCTGCAAGTTTCAGTATCCCCATCTCTGGTCTAGATATTTTGGACTGCAAGTCTCAAATGAATTCAGTGATCTTGATGGTAGTTCTACTTGCTCCATAGATTTCTATCTAGGTATAATCTAATTAATCAAGTGAATTAAGCCAGTAATATGCAATCAAGTAAAAGTATTGACAAACATTTTCAAATTGCAGTGTCTTACTGGATAAACGATTCCGGGCTGAATGTAAAAACTATGGAGTAATTATCCCTTATCCACCTTCCAACCGATATGAAACATTACTCAAACAGAGGCATGTCCAGGTATGACACAGTCAGTCCCAACAAAATTCCCAGTCTTTTTTTTTTTCTGGGAAGCAATGATGGATTTACACATTCATTTTAGATCCTGAAGTATGCATGTGTGCATGATATTGAGGTGTGCATGGCACTCTGTCTTAAAGAAGGACATGCATAGATGCATGTCTTTATAATTTCTTATAGCATATCTTGAAATCAGCATCCCGGTAATAAATATGTCTACATGTAGTGTGGAGCATATAGTCTAACTGAAACAAAATAATAGGCAGTATTGGGCTGAGCAGGTATAGCTGGCATTTTTCTCATCCATGTTCTCCTCCCCACATCCCATCTGTGTCACTTGCTTTGTCTTGTTTTCATATGGCCTAGTGACTACTTACAACCACTGAATCTACACTATGTGTACATAACTGCACTTTTCATCTACATTGCACATCAAGGAACAAGGCAGCATGTATTAGTCTGAAATCTGGATCTGCTCCTTTCACTAAATTGAATAGACCTGATTCCTTATCTCTATTTTAGTAAAGGTACACTGAGTAATGCGTTATGGTTCCAATTTTGTTGTTGATCTACATTTTGTCCTAGATGTGCTCTTATTTTTAATCACCCTCTTATTTTCTGTCTGTGCCTTCTCTAAACAGCTACTAGGAAGGTCAATCGACCTAAACAGGCTTATCACCCAGCGGATCTCAGCTGCAATGTACAAATCATTAGACCAGGCTATTAGTCGCTTTGAGAGTGAAGATCTGACCTCCATTGTGGTAAGCATTGTCCAAATGCTTTTTATAATACAGATGTTTCATGTCTGATGCATCTCTGACTGACTGTGTAGTCTGTTATCTTCAGCTACACTGTTGGTTAAACTATACTGTTATTAATATCTTTATTTGTAGTAGATTCAGTTCTGCTCATGTATGTATTACAGCCATCAGTCATAAGATTTTGCTGGCAGTCTTCTGTACCACTGTTGACTCTTGGTTATTGTCCACATTTCACACTCTTATTTCCAGATGAGAGAGGTCTCATCAACCTTTACATGGGATTCTTGACAGTTTTCACATTCAAAACATTTTATTTTAATATGGATCAGATTTTCAATGAGGAATCAAATTTAGACACCAGAATGATAATTTTCAGGTAGTTCAATCAGTATGTTCAGCTGCTAGAAAATTGTAGCTTGATAGCAGGCCAGTAATCAAGGAAGTTCTGTCTCTAGTTTCAGGGCTATATGTCAGGCTGGATCTACACTGCCATATAATCCAGATAATCTGTTTTGAACAGGATTTTAGGAGTCTACACTGCCATATAACTCAGTTCAAAGCAGATAATCTGGATTTTATAAGACAGTGTAGATGGGGTCTCAATTGGACCTCCTCTCCCAGTTCGCAGTATAATAATAAGGATTGTAAGATTTACTTGCGTATTGCCTTATTCTTCTCCTTGCATCTGTTCAAATCAGGAACTCATTAAGGCTTCCTCATCTGACATACTCACCATTAGCAACTTCTTAGAAAAGTATCTTCATTAGATAAGAGCCTAAGAGGAGCCCTGCTGGGTCATGGAGCCCACTTTGTCCTTATGAGTTTCTTATGAAAAGCCTAGCAGTGCTTCTCACATTTTCCATCAATAGGTTTCACCTGCCGCAAGTATTCAAATGGCAGGAGAAAGCCTCACTCTCCATTCTTTATATGCCTCCCAGCTTGATTTTATAATGAAAGGATATCCATGGTGTGCAGGAAATACTGTCTATTGAAGTAACTCACTTCTGGACCTTGATCTTGCAAAACATCTTTTTGCTGCTTCTTTCTCTGGATGCAGGAGCTGGAGTGGCTTTTGGAGATAAATCGTCTGACACATAGACTACTGTGCAAACACATGACCTTGGATAGTTTTGATGCCATGTTTCGAGAGGCCAATCACAATGTTTCAGCTCCTTATGGGCGCATCACACTACATGTCTTCTGGGAGCTTAATTTTGACTTCTTACCTAATTACTGCTACAATGGGTCTACTAACAGGTAAGGGAATCTCAAAATGGAGTGCTTTGTTGCTACCTTTGAAGATTAGATTTGAGTCACTTTGTGCTTTGTATCCATCTAGGCCCAAACTAAATTGAATTAATAAATTAATTAAGCATAATATTAGTTACAGTAACTTTACATATATTTTTGAACTTGCCAGGGATGGGACAGTTTTGGTATTAGATCAGAAATATATTTCTAACTAAAATATAACTGGAAAAGTTGTTGTAATGAGATGATGTGGTATGTGGAGTGATTGAGGAGAACATCATGTTGACTTTTCCAAGCAGTTTAGGGATACTGGAAATATGTGTATAGACATTAAGTAGATTGAATAAAATCAACCAAAAGGTTTGTGCTACTATATTGCAAGGAATTTATGGAATAAATGATGGATAAAATATCTAGTCTTTTAAAAAGGTTTTGAAAGGATGGGTTATGAGAAAATATACCTAATTTTGGACAATTTAGTAAAAATCATAGCAATCTGAGTAGTGACTAGATAACATCATTACAACCAGCAAAAAAAAAAAGCCATATAGCTATCTAGCACTCTTAGTAGATGACTATAATGGGAAAATTGTTTCTGACAGAAAATCAATTAGGGAGGTGGGGAATCATTTGTACAGTTTTGATTCAGAAAATTGGACACAACTGTTTCAAAATGAGCTTATGATAAATCCATTTTCCTTTCATTTTCATAAACACTAGATTTGTGCGAACGGCCATTCCATTCACCCAAGAACCCCAGAGAGATAAACCAGCCAACGTTCAGCCGTATTATCTTTATGGATCCAAGGTTAGTCAAAAAGGTCATTTCCTATTCATTTTGGAAGGAGTTTGTTTAGGAAAATAGAACATGTGGTGGGATCTCATTAATCACAGATTATATTGATCAAAAGGAAACGAGAGAAAAGCAATATAAATTTTGGGGGGGGAGGGGCTTTCATTTAATGACCTAAATCTGATGCTTGCAGTAACATCAGAATGTTTCTTCCCTCCCCCTCGCAGCCCTTCCCAAAACATTAAAAAACCATGCTCTGAGAGTTTTCAAACCCTTCCAAGGAGTGCAGTAGGTAGTGCTGCTGAGAACAGATGAGAGATTGTCCCTCTTCCACCTGTGCTCACAGAAGTTGCTTCTATAAATGCAGGGTCAATGTTGGAATTTAAGAAACTGCTGATAATCCAAACTCATTCATCTTTATTTTACTTATGTATGTGTGTATTTTTTTTCTAGTAAAGGGATTTTTTTATTTATTGAGAGGAGTGGGGAATCACAAATGTTGGTCCAACCCGTTTAGACTACTGCAACGCTCTCTACGTGGGGTTGCCTTTGAAGACGGCCCGGAAGCTCCAATTAGTCCAACGTTCGGCGGCCATGATACTAACAGGAGTGGAGCGCAGGGAGCATACAACTCCTCTGCTGCACCAGCTCCACTGGCTGCCGATTTGTTACCGGGCTCAATTCAAAGTGCTGGCGTTGGCCTTTAAAGCCCTAAACGGTTCTGGCCCAACCTACCTATCCGAACGTATCTCGGCCTATCAGCCCACCAGGACCCTAAGATCTTCTGGGGAGGCCCTGCTCTCTATCCCGCCTGCTTCACAGGTGCGGCTGGCGGGGACGAGAGACAGGGCCTTTTCTGTGGTGGCCCCTCGGCTATGGAATGCCCTTCCCATGGAGGTAAGATCAGCCCCCTCGCTGATGGTGTTCCGTAGAAGATTAAAAACCTGGATGTTCGAACAGGCATTTGGTTAATTCGGTGCAATGAATGTAATGATTAAAGGATTGGTAATATGGACGACGAAACTGGATCACGATTTTAGTCAGGAGATGCATTGGATTGTTATTGATGTGCGAATATTGTGTATCATGCTTTTATGGTTTTAAATTGTATACTGTTGATTGTTGTATTTTGTTGTAAACCGTGTTGAGTCGCCGGCTAGGCTGAGAAACAGCGGTATACAAGTATAGCAAATAAATAAACCCTCAGTGTCTGTGGATTTGGCAAAATCTTTGGGAGGTGTTTCTATCCTTTTATAGCTGGGTATATAGAGGCTCTCTTTGCTGCTAGAACTCATGATTGCACACAGACCTTAGAGGAAAATTTGATGTACCCTATAAGTTTCCATAGGATTGCAGCCTGTCATGCTAGCTGCAGATTCCCATTATGAACTCATGTGTGATTTAAAATACTCTAATAAATGTCACTGTCAGATTTATTGATTTGAATTCTGTTCTGCCTCTGTCAGAAAAAAGAATTGGATAAAATATGGCTATTTAGATCATAATATTGAAATCCGTCAGATCTGCCTGCCTGCAAGCCATCATTATTGTACAGGGGAAGCTGAAAGCATGGTAGACATTAATTCTGTTTCACAGCTCTGTCTGTGCTTTCCTAACTTGTTTAATACTTTTAATACATCTGTTCAAATCAGGAACTCATTAAGGCTTCCTCATCTCCCATACTCACCATTAGCAACTTCTTAGAAAAGTATCTTCATTAGATAAGAGCCTAAGAAGAGCCCTGCTGGGTCATGGAGCCCAGTGAAAGAATCTGAATTTGTTGACATTAATATACCTCAGTGTAAAATGAAACAGTTTTCAAGAGGATGCCCAGTTGGTACATTACTTGTACCAGAAAATACTGTAGGTGGCTTTCATAATACCGTATTCACTTTGCTTCCAATGAGTGTTTCATCCCAACGGTGTTTTACAGCTTCCATCAATTTATCTGTCATCTCAGTTCTTTATCTCATTATTAGTGATGGGCTATACAGGTGTTTTAATATGCATATACATAATATACAATATCAGGCACATGTTTATTTCACTTATTCATTTTATAGTGTACACTATATTCAAAGATCCTGGGATTGTTTATTCTAAAAGTAAATGTAAAACAATAAATAATAACAATTAAAAGATTCAAATATATTCAAAGGTTTATCAGTTAAAAACACAGACAATTAATGTCAACTTATTTGGAGAAGAGTTCTACAAATACCTTGGACTGCCAAAGTTCCATTTTGAAATAGGATGTCATGTTTCTTTTTCAAGGCTACAAGTGTGGATTGCAGTTCTTTTGACTGTTATTTTGAAACAAGGATGGAGAGCTGCTGGCCCATAGGATAAGTCCATCCCACCCACTCTTTTCAGGTCAACCCTTCTCTAGAATAAGGAAAGAAATCCCCACTGTTATCTCAAGTCAACAATCTATTATAACAGCAGGATTCCCAGTTTGTTTGTTTCTTCATTGTCTTTTTTTTCTTTTTAAATTTTTAATATTTTGTTTCAAAAAGATAATACACCAATTATATATATTGCAGACATATACACATACACATACGTAGACAACCCGCCACCCACAGTACAGTTACCCCTCAACCCACCCACCACCCTGGCTTCCATCCTTGTTTAACCCTCTATACTTCTAATGCAAAAAAATTCCTCTTGTTTTTATTTCTTTAGCTCTCCCGTCAAGTATGCTAAGGCCAGCTTCCAGTTTCTTTCAAATATTTCATGATTTTCATATTTCAAATTGCTAGAAATCTTAGCCATCTGTGCATAATCCCACAGTTTATCCTTCCAATTTTTAATGCTTAATGTTTTCTCCCCTTTCCAATCTTTGTCTTTTTCAACCCCAGGGATAGGCACAGCACTAAATGAAGCCAGGCCTTGGGCTTTCCTTTGGGTCATATGGCTTGGTGGAGCCACTTCATACCATCCTCAAGGCCCCTAGTGATAATTTACTGGTTATCCTTTGCTTCTAGTAACTGTCTTGTTTCTGTTTCCTTCCCCAGCCACTCAACATTGCTTACAGCCACATTTATAGTTCATATCGGAACTTTGTGGGGCCTCCTCACTTCAAGACAATCTGCCGCCTCCTTGGATACCAGGGGATTGCTGTGGTTATGGAGGAGCTACTCAAAATTGTCAAGAGCCTGGTAAGGGTGGGATTTGAACTTACAGATGAGACTCATGCCAGAAACTCAGACAGCTCTGGCTGGGACATAATGTGTTAAAAGTAGATTATTTTTGAGCATGTATTTATCATGTGCTTTCCAAGAAAGTTAGAAGAGTGTTTATTTGTATCCATAACATTTCAAAATCTAATTTTGTTTATACTGTGGTCCCTTGATATCCACCGGGGTTGATTCTAGGATCCCTTTCCTCCCATGGTTACCAGAATCCATGGGTGTGCGAGTCCCATTATATGCAGTTGTGTACTAAAAGGTATCCCTTATGTTCAATGGCAAAATCAAGGTTTGCCTTTTGGATTTTATATATAGATATAGATATTCAAGCAATTTGCCTTGAAATTATGCACAAACTCTCACACAGAGATTTGTTGAGGATTGCTGTTTAAGTTTTAAGCTGTTTACCTCCTTAAACAGAAGTTAAATAGACAACCATTTCTGAAAATATGTTTGCTTTTTTTTGTGAGCTGTCATGGTATGGGGTGGGATTTGCTTATTTTTTTAAAAAAAACTGATATGGATATGCCTACACATTGGACTACAATGAAAGTATTTTACTATCTTTGTTCATGCTTAATTTTAATATTCTTAGCTGGCTTACATCAGCAAAGGTGGTGGCGCAATGGGTTAAATCCTTGTGCCAGTACTGCTGACCAAAAGGTTGATGGTGCGAATCCAGGGAGCGGGGCGAGTTCCTGTCCGTCAGCTCCAGATTCTCATATGGAGACATGAGAAAAGCCTCCCATAGGATGGTAAATCATCCAGGTGACCCCTGGGGAACATCCTTACAGACAGCCAATTCTCACACCAGAAGTGACTTGCAGTTTCTCAAGTCGCTCCTTACATGAAAAAAAGAAAAGAAAGTAGATCACAAAGTGAAAGTGGTCATTTCTAGAAATCTGTAAATATGCCCACTGTAAGTGACAGACATCTGATTCCATCAAGCAAATATTTCCTGGTGATCTTTGGAAGCTGCTTAAAAGCCCCATATTGCCACATAACTTCAGATAGCTTCCATATGACATCACAGATAAAGCCTGAAGCCCCCATGTGAGCTTTTCTGGGTGTTCAAATTAGGAAACACTAGTATAAAATGAGATATATATTTTAAGGGACAGTATGATGTGAATGAGCCTCTGATTCCTTATCCCCCAAACTTTGTACTCATGATTAAGATGAGGAGCCCCAGAATCTGTCAATATTTCCATAATTCAGCATGTCATCAGAAATAAGATTGTACTTTCTGCCTAGGAAAGAGAGAATCAGTATTTCTGGGAACCAAACATTTTGGCTGACCATTAAAACTGCCCTAAACTGGTGTGCCCAGAACTGACCTCCTTATAAAGAAACTTTCAACTTTAGGGCTGTTTCTTAGGTCTGATTTTTATCTTTAACTGCTTCCTGTAGTTGCAAGGGACCATCCTTCAGTATGTGAAAACCTTGATAGAGGTGATGCCCAAAATCTGCCGACTGCCAAGGCATGAGTATGGATCTCCAGGTTGGTACTTGGATCACATTATGAGTCATCAATAAATATTAATTCTTTGTTATTTATGGCACTTGAATTATGTCCCTTCTCCATTGTGATTTAACTCAATTTTCCTGATTCAAAGAACTTTAAGACAAGAGGGTATGGCTCATTTAAAACCTCACAGTGATCTACAGAGCAATAGGGATTTGAATATCAAATCAGTAGTTTACATCAAGTGCTTTGTCCACTATGCCATACTCCCACTAAATAATTCATTATTATTTAATGAATTGGTTATTTTTAATTCTGTTTTTCCCCCCGCAAAGCAGTATATATCTCTTGCTTTACATCTAAGAGATTTTTGTTTATGTGTAAATATCTTATTTGAGGACTTGTATAGAGAATCCTCAAATGGTTTCATTTTAGGGCTTAAACATAAAGATTTGATGTCTGGAGGAGTTTCTTGACTAGGAAGTGAGCCAATGCAGATATCAGATGCCATTCATATGTCTGGTGATTCTACAGGAAACTTGTGTGTTGTAGTGCACAATGAGAGCACTACTGTGCTGTTTATTAAAATCTGTGTATTATTTAAAAAACAAATTTTAAAATGTAAACTGAAAGTTTCATTTACATCATTTTAAAAACTTAAAACAAATTTTAAATTTTTGTTATAACAATGCATAAAATGAGCCTCACTACACAATTCTAATTAAAAGGTGTAAAGATATTAACAGCAAGTTACAAAGCAAGACATCATCTATTCAGTACTATATTGCAATCAAGTGCACACACTCTTTCTCATTCTCTAAACCAGTGATTCTCAATCCGTGGGTCCCCGGATGTTTTGTCCTTCAACTCCCAGAAATCCTAACAGCTGGTAAACTGCTGGGATTTCTAGGAGTTGTAGGCCAAAACACCTGGGGACTCATAGGTTGAGAACCACTGCTCTAGACCTTGCCTTTCTCCAAATGTGGAGGTGGTCACTGAATAGAATTTATCTGAACAAGGAGCAGGAGTCTTGATTTAAATATAGAAGGTCCCATTTTAGATGAATGGAAAATCTGAGAACATTTCAGACCAGTTGCTTAGTGTGTAGTAACTTTTTAATGAAACCAACACTGATATTGTGGCATCAGGAGACTGGGTTAATTGAACAGTAGCCAGCAGAGTCCTTGTCACAATATATAGGCAGTCCCCAAATTATGAACAAGGTAGGTTATGTAGGTTTGTTCTTAAATTGAATTTGCATGTAAGTTGGAACAGGTACCTTTTTAAGTGTAACTTCAGCCATAGATAGATAGATAGATAGTTTTGGATAGCATAGGGAAGAGTTAACACCCAGTGGTGTTTGTTTTGCTGTCTGTGCCTCTTTTCAGAAGATTTCACCTCACTTTTTGTCCCTGTGATAATTGGATTTTGAAACATTTCGCTTGTGGTGAAAACAAAGATTGATGATAAAGCTTCAATGTAGACATCTTTTTCCCATGATAACTCTTCCAGGAGTAAATTTCCATCCCCAGGAGTAGATTACTCTCACTTCCTTTTATCTCACCCCCGTTCTTAACTATGAGTCATATGTAAGTCAGATGTTTGTAACTCAGGGACTGCCTGTACACAACTGATCCTGGACACTTCTGAGAAGCAGAGGTCAAGGAAATGAAATGTTGTCTACCAGATGCCACCACAAGGAGGCAAATTGCTGGTGTGAGCAGCAGCAGAGGCAGATGTCTCCATTTGTGGTATAGGCAGATTGAAGTGGCCAAGTTACACTGAACCAATCAGGTCTGTAACTGCAGACATGACTCCTTATTCTCCCAGTGATGGTTGCCTTTAGGAGCAAGGACATGACCCCCGCTTCATCCATGTTTCTCTCAGTTCCTATGAGGTGTCATATAAGGCAGTTCATGAAATCATTCACAAAACATAAAACATAATATACTGAAGTTTTGCATTTGAAAGGTAAATGTATGGTTATCTACTTCAGTATGAATGTAATTTAATGGCACCTTTAAGTGTTGAGCTTTTGTGGATTTCAGTCTACTCCCTCAGATACTGTCCACAGTGCTTTTGAAGAAATGGACTTAAATATACTCAGGTTGATGGTAAAATAAATCAGTCTTAAAGGTGCCCCCAAACTACTCTGTACCATTATATCTTTCCATACTTCTTAATGGAAATTTAGAAAACATATCCAGTTGAGTAAGAAATATTCTGTGCAACTGTATGCATAGTAAGTTAACTATTGCAGAATATGTGGCTGCTGCTCATGTGTATATGGAAAATATATAATATTATATAGAATATTCCTTATTAAATTAAGATACCTAATTTTGTTTACTTAGGAATAGCCTATGTATATTTATATGTAATGGCTTCAGATTCAGTATTATTACCTTGTTGGTATTTTATTATTTTTATAAATAATTTAAACTGTTTAGCAATGTGAATTTATTTGACTGAAAACATTTGATTGGCAGGTCTGCATAAAATGTTGTTTTGCGAATAAAATTTTCCTTTGGCAAATAAGTTGCTGAGTGAAATCAAAAAGCGAAGGGAAGCCTGATAATAATTCCAGGAAATGTTTATGATGCTGATGAAGCAATATTACAGCCCAACAACATAAATCTTTCTAATTGATAGATATCTCTCACTTCATCCCCATCTCTCTTCTCAAGGAATCCTGGAGTTTTTCCATCACCAACTGAAGGACATAATTGAGTATGCAGAGTTAAAGACAGATGTGTTCCAGAGCTTGAGGGAAGTGGGTAATGCCATTCTTTTTTGCCTTCTCATAGAACAGGCCTTGGTGAGTGAAAATGGATTATTTTGGATATTGGCAGGCTTTAGATATATTTTAAATATAAATGAACAAAAAATTGAATGAACTACCCCAGTTCAACAGAATGTGGTTAATGGAGATATTATTTATTAAGAATTTTATCATTTAAATATGTATGATGATGATTCAGGGATGTAAAGAAATAGAAATGAGAATGGGATTCTATTAATGTAAAAGTTATGTGAATTATGGGCCAGTTTTTTAAATTTGGGTATGGAAAAAAATCATTTCAGATCACCATGAGATTTATATATAGAGAGAGAGATGTGAACAGCTATAATAGTACCACATAATATGGGGCTCTTTTCTGTGGCCTTTTCCATTTGGGATATGTGCCCTGTGTGAAGCTAATCCCAAAACGTCCCAAGACATGTTGGCCTCTGATTTCACTACTTTATTTTCCCCTGATTGTTTCTATCTGCCCAGTATCACAGGTACTCACATCAGTGCAGATTCCATGTTTCGTGAAATGTATAGTACTCAAAAAATAATAACATAAACAAACCTTTAAAAAGGCCCAATGTCTGATTTCCCAAGCTTTCCCTTTTAGCACCAAACCAAGAATGTAACAGGCTTCTATCTTGATATCTCTCCCAGCTAGTCCTTCTGTTGTTTTAATTAGTCTAAAGAATGTACCTGCTTACAATTCTGGAAGGTATCATAACTCTCAAGTCCTGCATTTTTCTGCTGTGGTTACATTGATCCTTATGATCTGTGTCATATCAACCTGTTCTTGAGTGTGCAGAATTCCTTGTTCTCTGTCTTATTGGATACATAATGAGTTTAATTGTTTCTCATATAATGATGCACCCGTAATATGTTAGGGAACCAACATTAACCTGCCATAGAAGGAAGATCCAATATGGTACTAAGCACAGTGTCATATGTGGGAGGAAAGGAATCTGGAAAGGCTAATCTGAGAAACTAGCGAATGTTTAACAAGATTATCACATCTTTCTCTCTTTCCCTCTTTTAGCTCTTTAATGAAAGTTTTGATTTTGCATGTAAAATAGTTAATTCCTTTGGACATTCTGGTGGTCCTGTAGTCATGCAGAACTCAATGTGATTCAACTTGAGTTCCTGAGTATGGTTATGGTTATACCATGATTTATTGCTTTATTTTTCTCCTTTGAGAAATATGTTGGAATTAGCTTATTTTTCTTAATGTTCCAAACAGCCAATATTATTCTGACTCTGTGGTCCAGAGCACTATTTATTTTACCACTACAGGCTAATTCCTAGCAAAATGGCCTTTGACAAAAGACCTTCTGAATTCACGATTTCCTGAACATCATAATGTAACTCCACTTCTATAATGTTTTTAAAAACATTTCTGTTTTCATATACAAATTAATCTATCAATGTACTAATCAATTAACTTAATGAAGTGCTTTAGGCATGCAACAATTTAGACAGTTGTCCTGTTATTATATGATAAACAAAGCATATATGCACAAGGAAGGCCTCCTCATTATCCCCATGAAAGGAAGAAGCACTTATGGGTGTTCACAAAGTTCTTTCCATTGTAGCTGGGAATAAGTGCCTCCTTCTCCTATTCTGAAGGGAAGATGAGATTGGGCAAATATCCCTGTTCTATACAGGCCTCTTATTAAAGCTGGAAGGACTTGGACTCCACTATATAAATGATATCATATGATTATCAAGTTATACAATAGTTCAGTGGAAGATGAAGTGAATTATGTAACATACCCATCTTCTAAGATGTTCATAAATATACTTTACGTAAACAGCCAAGTCTTTGATGTGGGACTGTGCACAGACTTTTGACACTGTATGGTATGGTAGGAGGTGAGATAATTGATCACAGCATTCCAAATGTGTACTCACGCAGAGACATAGTAACAGCTCTTTTTTCCAGCGTCTTGCTTCTTTGCATGCAGCCTGCGACCATCATGGTTTACTTTGTTGCTGCATTATCCTGTAAAGTCATGCAGAATTTGCTGCCAATCATTACTCAAACTCCTCAAGCTTATTGCTTCCCAGGTCTTGCCTCTTTGTGTGTCTGCAGCTTGGGCTAACTTTGGATATCTGTATATGTTTTTAATTGCTTCTCATTCTCTGGTTCTTTGCTGGGCCTCTTCCAACCCCAACTGAACGATGGTAAATTGAAGGAAGACCCCATTGAGATAAATGAGACTTTACTCCCAAGAAAACATGCTAAGGATTGATACTTTTTAGTCTTTCTCCTCAACAGCATTTATGGGTCTTCCTTTTGCAAGCATCAGTAATACAGTACAGTGCCTTATGTAAAGTGACACAAAATCAAACCAAAATATGCATGCATTACAGAGTATCTTCCAAAAGATAGGGTTATGGAAACCTAGAAACAAAGATAAAAACAATGAAGCTGTCAGACTGAAAATTATATTTCAAAGTTTTGTTTCCATCCACGAAGAGTATTAAACCATGTGGCATGCTAAGTACATGACATATAAAATACAGTCCATGGATTCATTATCTGTGGTTTGATTGACCCCACTCCCTGGCCCAGAAGTGTTTGTCTCTGGGTTCTTCAGTATGATTCTGTTGTATGTTTCCAACTCAGGAAAAGTAAATATACAAGATTTGCTATTTATCCATGCTTTCAGATATCCACGGGGGTACTTGGAATGTATCTCCCATGGGTATCGCGGTTGTACGGTACATGTTTAAGACTCCTTCCTTTCTTCTTTTTTTTTTAAAAACACTCTAGTGAGCACATAAAGCCCTGAACTGGATTGAGATTAGTATGAGTATGTGTGAGAGAATTAAACCTTTCCTTCCCACCAATTTTTAGTTCAGAATCCCGTATGGAATTTTCTTCTTTTATAAAAGCCTTTGCACAGTGGGCAAAAGCAAACTTTCCCCCCAAGATAAAAACATTTTAAAAACCTAAAAGGTATAAGAAGTTCTGTTCTTCATGCTGCATAATGTCCCCGATTAAGGCCCCTCTTCCTGGTTTTATACTGCAAAAGTCAGAACCTCATTCAAATATATTAGAATGTTGTGCTCTGAAAAATGAGAGATGCTATCTGCATTTAAGCCTGTATTTTCAAGCAGAAAACTGGTACATTGGCTTTTAAGTAAATCTCCTTTGCATAATAACCCAATTAGATCTTAGTAAGATTTTTTTTTTGGGGGGGGGGGGATAGAATCCTGCATGCAGTAGCCATGAGGGCTAAAGCATTCTAGAAGTTATAGTCCATATCTACCCTTTCTGCCTTTTACATCTACAAATTTGCACTCATGTGAACTATCAATAGACAACAACAAGCATGTGGGAAATAAATGAAACAAATGACAACTGCAGTGTTTTTACATTGATTGCAGTACACATACAACAGTGTGGCAAGGCATTTTGTAACTTCTAGACAGACTGTTAGCCAACTGCGAGTGTTCAGTTCCTTCAGGCTGAAGTTGCTTAGTGCAATTAGAATAACTGTGGGCAACAAACTTTTTTGCCCCAATCCTCCTATATTTCTTAAACCTCAGATATTACCAGTAACACCCACACATTTCTCAGGAGAATACTTTTCCTGTGTGTCATTTGGAATGGGTCTCTAGCATTGTAGCAAAAAAGGTTAACCTGGCATCAGGTTTTTTCTCACAATGCAAACTAGAGTTTGGGAAGTTTAAATATAAATCCATGGAATGATTCCAGGGAAAGACCAATCTTTATTCTCCTATCACATTGCCTGCTGTCTCATTTTTAAAAGACCACAGGAAACCTGCTCTGTCTAGTTTAGCCTTAAGCTCTGCAGGCAGTTAGGGTTCCAAAATAGGCAGGTTTACATAACATGCTTAGCAGGGCTCCATTCCTTCAGTAAAACCTGGTGATTCCTGGAGGCTGACTTTTCACCTGAGTCTAAGAATTTAAAGGGGTTCATTGAGTTTTACTGAAGTGTTACATTGAATGGCTCTGGATTGCCCTTTCACTTTCTTCCTTGAAGGTACACCCAAAGGAGAAAACTGCATTCAAAAGTTAGGATGTCCAAGTTGGACTCTGAAAGGCTGTAGCTGAAAACTTCTCCTCATTCAGAAAGACCTTTGAAGAATTTCTTATCAGACTCCTGGCAGGTGGACCTGACTGAGTGGCTAATTACAGAAGTATTTGGGGGGCAAATTATTATATTGGCTTGTATGTGGGCTTTTAGATGGAAACCATAAAATAATAGCTGCAACCATCCAAAAGACACTGCTACAATCGTATCTATCATCCCTTACAGCACTGAGATACATAGAATAGAAGATACTTAAATTAACAAAGGTTCATCTACCCAGGCTTAGGGCCCTTTTTTTTCTAGATTAGCCTGAGGTGTCCAGCGAAACCTCAGGCTAATCCAGTTCAACCTGGAGTAAACCCGGATTTACTCCAAGTTAAAAAATACCTGGGAAGGAGAGGACCTTCAATGAAGGTCTGCACCTTTCTCGGTATGGGGCATGTGGAGATGGACTCTTGGGATCTCCTTCTGCCATCTGTGATCCTGAAGATCAATCTCCACAGTTATCCCAATTCTTCAAGTTCCTGGAGGCCAGAGAACTGGGATGGCACTGCCACCCTCCCCACCTCACCCCCATTTTTGGCTTAAATTTACCATAGAGGTGTGGCTCCATTTGCAGACTTCTGATAAAGCTCTCCTTTTCTATCATTTTGACCCAGGCCTCTCCAGTATGCCAAAAATGGGAGGGAGGCCAGTGGCATTACCCCCCACTCCCCAGATCTGACTTGGATCGAAATGAGAGGGTATTTAGCTACCACCACTCCCAGCAAAATTGCAGGTGGTTGTGAGAAAGTCTGGCAGAAAACCCAGCAGAAACTGGCATTTAAAATGCCTGTTTCTGTCACATTATAGGGCTGTGTAGAAGGGCCCAGAGAAAAGGTTTTGTTTAGAATCATGCCTGAGCATGACACCATTCACACACCCATTTTAGAGAACCACGTTAACAGGGTGTTCAGCCTTGCCTTAGATTCTCTAACTAAATGAAGTAAAATAGTTGAAGTAACCAGATAAAGGCAATAAGTAAAGTTGCAAAACTCCAGATTACATAGAAAAATTAATCTTTTTTTAGGATTGTATTTACTTATTTTTGATGCACAGAGAAATAGTAGATTAATTCATTTTTGTCATCTTAGAAGTTCTTATATTTGAATAAGCCATTTTGTGGCTTATATAAGAATAGGCCCTTCCCAGTCCTACAAACAACTGAACAACCAGTCCCATGGGGGATTTTTAACACCTTTTATCTTTCTTCCTCCTGCCTCAGTCCCAAGAAGAAGTGTGTGATTTGCTGCATGCTGCTCCTTTCCAAAATATTTTGCCCAGGGTCTACATCAAAGGTAAGGAGTGAAGAGATGGACAGATGTCAGTCATGATTCCCAGAGATGTTTAGCACATTTTAAGTTGCAGTGAGATATTTGCAGTCGATACTTTACAAAAAAAAAAGTAAAAAAAACTCAGGACTAAATTATCTGTAAAGTGACTTCCATTTTCCAGTGGCCTCAAATGAAAGGTGAGATCACTGGATATCTTAGCAGCAAAACCAAGATGGTTGCTTTTTAAAAGGAGATCCCAGCAGGTTCTTCATAGTGCATTACCTTATTCCTGTTCTGTCACACTGGTCCCAGATAATGGTTGGGAGATGACTCTGAAATGCTAGTTTTCTTTTCTTTTTGCTTTCTCATTTCACTGTTTGCTGCTCGCTTAACAGAAGGAGAACGCTTGGAGGTACGCATGAAGCGTCTCGAAGCCAAATATGCCCCACTTCACCTGGTTCCCTTAATAGAGAGGCTGGGAACACCTCAGGTAAGGATGACATTGAATCCCACCTTGAGTGCGTGACCCAAAATAATCAATTAAGGACGCACAGAGCAGCTTGTCCCTGAGCCACAGCAAGTCTTTCCATCTGTTGCTTAGTTTTCAGATCCACATGGTGTTGTTTCCTTCCACAGATACTTCATACTTATTAAAGAAAATTAGATTATCTTAAGTGAGGCTCTGTATCTTGGGTACATAACAGTGTCCACAAATATTGATCAGTAGCTAATTCAAGTTCAAAAAGAATCAGTTTGCAGTTGTCCCAGTCCTAATTCAAATTCTCTCTCTAACTTCAGTCATCTTGAGGAATAAGATCCAGATTATCTGCTACGTTATGTCAATAGTAACTTTTCCTCCCCATTTTAGACCTCCCTGTTCATCTGTCCATTTATCACATAAATTGTGGTGATCAGGTGATACGTTTTTCTGCCTCCACATGATGTGTAGCCCAGATCTAATCGGTCCAAATGTGTACTTCCTTCTGTTGAACATTCAGTTTGCATATTCCCATTCTTGGTCTGGTTCACATACACCACTGAGCCAGAAACTTATACTACACGAGCAATCCTCCATAAATAAAGTTTTGGGCTCCTTTGCACTTTACTTCTCCCACCTCCCATGTAGCCAGAATTTACTTTTATGTTTCTGGCTTGTTCCATATGAGCTTGGAATTTATTTTTGTAAATGTAGCATAATTTTCTAAATGATTCAAGATTGTTAGTTGGAGTGTTTAGAAATTGACAGGAGTCTGTTTTGAAACTTGATTATTGGCTTGTATGTAAGTCAGTACTGTAGAAACTGAAACCTGATGAAGTCTTCCTCCACAGCATAGCAGGAAAGGAGAAGGGGGAGTGTACAAGACTGAGACTTTGCTAGGGTTTGCATGTATATAGCATGAAATCATGTTTTGGCATTTTAGGTACCTACGAATGTGACAAGATTCCTGGGTTCAGTCTGTTAGCTGTAACCTAGCATACAGCTAACAAACTGTAGCTACTAGTTCTGTATCTTTAATAAGAGGACCTCTCTTATTACTGATATTTCAGACTCATGCTTATTGTTCATATGCATAAATGGAAAATGTTGGGGCTGTAAATTTTAAAGTGTGTTTAGATTAGTGGTTCTCAACCTGTGGATGTTTTTGGCCTTCAACTCCCAGAAATTCTAACCACAGGTTTAGGCCGAAACAACTCGTGAAATGACCCTGAATGATCACAAATTCTGCAGATAGTAAGGACTTTTCTCTGGGTCAAATTGGTGGCAGTTCTGGGGAAATTCCCTCTACAACTTGGCTTACTTGCATGAGTGGTCTGGTGCTGGTGTCTGCAAAGCACTTTCTTCTGTTCCCTGTTTGCAGTTTAAATAATTTTAGATAGATGTCTTTGGCCTTGCAGTAGCCAACCAATCTATGACTTATAAACCAGCGGGATGTTAGTCCCATTCTAAGACAAGGTGTCAGTGCATTTTTAGAAGTTTTCTCATCATTTTTAGAGCATTCCATTCATTGTTTCAAATCCTAAGATTAAATACAAAGAAGACAAGGAAGGGTTTTATAGAAAGCAATTCAAATTTCTTGAACTGAGAGAAACTACTTTCATAACTAGTGTGTAAGGTACATACTTGAGAAGAGCACTAAAGGATGTGCATAACAGAGCTTGGAAAAGTTCAATGTTTGGAGTACAATTTCCAGAACACCCTAGCTTGCATGGAATTGGGGAAGCTATGATCCAGCCAGATTCATGTTCAAGGTCTGACCTATCTCTCCTTTACAGAACATGTAGTTTTAAGTGCATGCTTGGGGAATGCACTTACATTTTTATGTAAGCATCATTTTCAAGGTTTTTTAATAGAATATTTTTCTCATCATCGTAATAAAAATATATATTTGGTATTCAAGCTTACGTATGATTCTAAAAATAGATTAACAAACCTCAGTGAACGGCCACTAAAAAGTTGATGGTAGAATGTTAAATCTGTCAGCCAGGTGCAAACTTTGATAGCTTGGAAGGAGTCCTGCGGAGAGTAGTGCAAATTGCTTCTTTGTCAAGAGTTCTTAGGATTCCTACCACAGCCTCTAAATAAATTTGTCAATCAGGCAAACATTCCATATGGAAGAATAAAATAGAGGCATGGTACAGAAATGAAACCATTACATTCCTTATTTTCTGTCAGATTATTCGACTCATTTAAAATTGTATTAATTGGATGTAAAGTGCTCAGAGTGGAGAGAGGATTATAACATGCTTATTTAAAGATGTTTCTCTCAACAAGCTTATGATTGTTTTTGTCTGTGTGCTTATGTGTTCTCATGTATGCAGTGCTTAGCTCTGTGTCTGTCATCCACATCCTGAGTGTGTTAGGTAATCACCCATGTTTTTAAGGAAATTGGACCAGAGACTAATGACACAGAAACACATGAGCCTCCTTATTGTTTCCACTGGTTTCAGCGAGGGCCCTAAGAGGCATTCAAGCATGTGCTTAATTCTCCCACAGAAGTCAATGGTGGACAAGAGTTTTGAACTAAGGTTCAAACTCAACATGATAGAGGAACACTGTGCTCAGGATCTTTTTTATTTTATGTTTTAACCTAATTAGCCACATCACATAGTGATATTAAAGACTAGAGGCCCTTCCACACAGCCCTATATCCCAGAATATCAAGGCAGAAAATCCCACAATATCTGCTTTGAACTGAGTTATCTGAATCCACACTCAGATAATGTGGGATTTTTTGCCGTGATATTCTGGGATACAGGGCTGCGTGGAAGGGTCCTAGGGAACTTGTACTGATATTGGAGGATATTTAACTCATTTCTAATTATCTGATGCAAAATCTTCCAGTCCCTGCCATTGATATGCTGCAATTCTCTTGAAGTTTTCTCCAACAGAAGCTCTGATAGAAGCTTAGATATAAGGAAGGTTAATATCCACACAGCTTTCCACAGTTTCCTACCCATGAGCCTCAAAGCTGCTGCATGAAGCTGCTAGTAAATTGACAGCAACAAAACAAAACTCCAGGAGATTCTGATCACTTTCATGAGACCTGCATTTTATCAGGAAGATATTTTATTTCTTTAAACATTTATAATTAACTGGACTTGTTGGCAAGCTGAGAGTGGTTTCCACGAAACTTCCAGTATGGTGCTTATCAACTACAGTAATAGCTCCAGAGCTCCTAACCATTTACTGGGCAGTCAGGACTGCTTTTTGGCTTCTTATTCCCTTGTAATTTTCTGGAAAGAGAAACAAAGGAACAATGGCAATTTCATGTCTTCGCCTCTCTCTTCAACAAACTGCAGGGCTTGGCTGCTGCTGGCAGAGAGACAAGCATGGAGCTATGCATGTAGAGCACTTAAGCTCCACATCTGCCACTACAAACACCCAAGATGGTAGTATACACATGGTTGTTTGATTTAGGCAAGTTATGGTTTGATAACTAGGCTTTACCTACGTTTAAAGAGATTTCTAAGTCCAAAAGCCTATAAACACTGTATACTTTTTTAGACTGATTCTTCAAAAAAAATCTCTTAGTTGACTGAAGGTGGGATGTTAGTGTTCTCTCCTTGAGCTTGGACAACATGTGATACTTGGGCAATTCTGATAAAGTAATTAAAATCATATTTTCAAGATCAGCTCATGCAAAAAAAGAATATGGAGGAGAACTATAATTTGCAAGCCTTCTCAATACTGTAAACATCCAGAGAAAGCTATGTATAGGTCTAGACCTAATTTATTTTGCTGGAAATGATGAATCAATACTCTTTATCTATGAGTTATCTCACCATTCAGCAGTGATTTGATAAATCCATTCTAGTTAAGAGACATATGTCAAATGCAAAGCCCATGGGCTGAATCCGGCCCGCCACATCATTTTATGTGACCCACCAGGTTTCCAATCCTAAGGCAACATAGTTACATTAATACAGTCTTTTGATTACAAATGGCCCTTTAAAGGCAACCATAAGGCTGATGTGGCCCTCGTTGAAAATGAATTTGAGACCCCTGAGTTAAGATTGATGAATCCGCCATAAAAATAAATATGAAATTCACAGTTCCTGTTTGAGTACTCAGATTTCACTAGATTTTTCATATAATAAACATATATGTTGATTATTCACCTGCCTTTTATCCACTCTGATTAACTGACTAAGGTTTGAATCATATGCATGGGAAACTGGGTAGCCATCACTGAACACTCTTGAGGCAGCATGCCATTGAAAAAATCAAAGCTACAAAATGAAAGACAATCTGTCACTGCTAAAGTAATGTATCAGAATGGCTTTGTAAAATATACGGTAACTTTCAGTCACAGGCAGACTGATTAAAAGTTGTGGTACTTGATGAAATAAAACTTTCGCTGGTTAACCTGCAGAATAAAGTGTACAGCCCAATTTTATGTACCTGCTATCTGGGAATGGACAGGTAGAGGAACAAAGCTTTATTAAATAAGTGCTAGATGGAAAGTAGGTAGAAAATAAAAATCACATTTGTAATACTTTCCTAAAAAAGAGCTTGCCATCAGCATGTCATTTCTTTCTTCTTTTTTTGAGACTTCATGTCTACCATGCTGAGAATCGATTCACATGTGCACTCATCTCAGTAAATCCACATCCCATCAATTCCGTGTGATGGATGAAGCAGGCTCCTCACTCAAAAATCAATAATTGCTGTTCTCTCTAGCTCTCTAGCATGGATGGAAAGAATGTACAAATTGGATCTACATATGAAGTGTTTGTGTCAGTTTTCTACCATGAAAAAGCAGCTGTGATGTTGGATTAGATCATTGGTTTCCAACGTTTTTTGACCAGGGACCACTTTGACTAGGGGCCACTCTCCAACATTAGTACCAAAAGGGTTATGAAACAGTTTTGTCAGCTTGAGATTTGGTTTGGTTATTTGGGGTGCTGATTCAGAAAATTGCATTGGATAGACCACAGTTTCTGATTTAGAACTATGCCATCTAGTAGTCACCATCTGCTCATCCACAGATGATCTTTTCTGAATCAGCACCCCAAATAACCCCAGAAGCAGGTCTAAAAACAAAGACACTAATAATTTTTTTTGGTCGGGCAACGGCGCTGGCCAACTTCCTTCTCTCTCCTTCCCTCTCTAGCTGTCCAACAGCAGCACACAGCCCTGGCCACGGACCTTGTTTTAGGTCTCGTGGTCCACCAGTGAGTCATGACCCACACATTGGGAACCACTTGATTAGGTGAACCAGACCAGTGTGAGATGCACTCAATTCTTCATGGGCACAGCAATTTGGGGGTCTTGTTCTGTGCCTATTTCTTACAAACAGAATATGTTTGTGGTGTTGAGTAAATGATACCAATTTACATGGGAAACCATCTTAACTTTGTAAAGGTGTGGCTGACTTTTCAGGTCAGCTGGGTAGCATTCTACCAGGTTGATCATGCTAGGGGAGATAAAAGTATGAAGAGCAGGCACACATCTTTGAATGGTGATGCACTAGTGTTACCTGAAACCAACATACAATGTTGTATAAAGTCAAAGTTTCCATCATTTTTATCTGAATAAAGAAGTCAGCCTTTGAAACTGAAATTAAAATATTGAGCCTTCCCAAATTTTTAATCACAGAATGTAATATAACTTTCTTTCCTTTTGCATGTGCTATTAATTGAATACCAATTCCCTTCTTTTTATCAAAATGTCCTTGTAACTATATATCTTAGATTACAAAAGTAGCAACTACCAATCTCAATATTTACCAGCTCAGTTAGATTTCAGTTCTGCTGAAGCCTGGTATTAAGCCAAGGTCAAGTCTTCAAAGCTTTCTAGAAATTTGAAAGATTGTTGGTATCAGGAAATGATAGCGCTTACATTTAAGCTTGTGGAGAATAATTGGACTGACAGTGCAGAGAAGAAGGAACACAAACATCTTTTGTGCCTACAAAAGTGGTCTTACTTTTCCACTGCTGTCTTCTGCCTTACCAAGTATTGTATTTTCTATTGGGTCATGCCTTCTTATGATATGGCCAAAGTATGATAGTTTCAGTGTAGTCAACTTGATTTCCAATGAAAGTTCAAGCTTTATTTCCTCCAAGACCCATTTATTTGTCTTATTAGCAATCCATATAAGTCTTCTCGACCACATTTGAAATGAGTTGATTCTTCCTATCAGCTTTTGTCACTCTCTGGTTTTCATAGTCATACATAAAAAGGGAATTGCAATGGCATGGATCATCCTGATTTTTGTTTTCAGTGATATACTATATTTTTACACTTCAGGATCTTGTCTAATTTCTTCATAGCTACCCTTGCAAGTTCTAGTTGTTTTCTGATCTCTTGACTACAGCCTTCCCATTCTGAATAAAGGCTGAGCCAAGGTACAGAAAATCTTTTAATGTCTTTATCATCTACTTCAAAGTTATGTAAATCATCTGTGGTCATGATTGTTGTTTTATTCATATTCAACATAAATCTCCTTTTGCACTTTCTTGACTTTCTTCAGTAATCTTTTGAAGTCTGCTATTTTCTGCTAGTAGTATGGCGTCATCTATATTTCTTTCTTAAAAGACTGGTTTTCCTTCTTCAGATTTTCACACCTCCTTCCTCAAAGTCGAATCCTGCTTTACATATGATATGTTCAGCGTACAAGTAAAAACAGATAAGATGATAAAATGCAGCCTTGTATGATCCCTTTGGCAATTGGAAACCATTCCATTTCTCTGTATTCCATCCTGATGGGAGCCTCTTGTCCTGAGTACAAATTACACATGAGGACAATCAAATGTCGACATACCTATTTCTTTAAGAGTGATCAACAGTTTTTCAATATTAAAATTCTGATATTGTGGTAATGTTTGCCAGTAGCCATTGATGGCCCTCGCCTCCATGAACTTAACACCTTGAGGTAAAGAAAGGAACAAACACTATAATTAGCGGCTGTGCTGCACAAAGAGGACCCATCATCAGACAGAGAATTCCTTCTTAGCTTCAATGTCAGAAAGGAATTTCTGCACACATTCTCGTTGTGTGGATGCTTATTTCCTATGGTTCAAACCTCTCTAGTGAGAGGGTGTTCAGTATTGTATATGATAGAATCATACATATTACATAGGGGGCCACAATCTCTAAAAAAAAAATCTTACTCTCAATGCTGTTGGAGGCCCATGAAGAAAAATGCTTCTTTGTGTCTCTTGTTTTTTGGGTGAAGAAGACCCAGTTTGGTCAGAAACTAGGAGTACAGTTAGTTGTGGATATGCAAAGTTGTTTGAACAGCAGGAGCCAAGTTTTCTACATGTAAATCTTGAAGAATTTAGCTCAAGTAAACTTACCACAAGGATATGAATGGAATTCGCCTGCTTCGTTGTGAAAATTTCCCAGCCCTATTCAAGACTTTCTCCTGTTGATGGAAAGTGTCTTGTCAAACTTGTTATGAAAAGAGGGCTGCATCAGATTATCCTGTGTTTTTGGCAGGTTTTTCGCCTCTGCTTGCCCTGAGGTAAAGATTTAAAGAACATGATGTCTTTATGTAAGATTTTAAAAAGTTTTGAGGTCATTACTAGCTTGGGTAATTTCAAATTTATGAACAAATGACCTTCACAAGTACTAAAAATCTCAAATCTAGAAAATGTCACTTGGTATGAATCCTTTTTGCTGTAACTGCTTGAACAAAATAAAGTTTTCATATGTGTGAACTTCAGTCATCAAGTCCCCAATTAACTGTCTGTGTTACAGACATCTGCTAGCCAATTAATTTGTAGTTATGTGTAATATTAATCATTACATGTATATGATGTGTTATATGTGTGTTGCTATATATTCATAAGTATTATGCATAATGTTACGTAATATATATATATAATTATTTCAAATTAACACCTATCTATATTAGAATTTATCTTTTAATAAGAGAATGCAAATTTTTAGTGTTAATATTTTTTGATATACTAAAAATAAGCAAGTTTGATAAAACATTTCATAGTATTTCCAGTTCCATGATGTGGTGTGCATGTATTGTTTTACTTCAATGTGGAACCTAACATAAACACATGACAAGTAATTACAGTATTTCATTGTATAATAGCCACACTTTTTCCCCTTTTAAGAGGAGAGGGGGGATGACTATTACTCAAGGAAACTTATTTGCAGCTATGGGGCTTCCCTCAACTGCCACCAGCCAAGGGAGGCCCCACAACTCTCATCAGCAGGTGCACAGGTGGGTGAAGGCTTGCCCACCATTCTCCATTCTGAACTTCGAAGAGCTGCCTTGTCCAAGACATCCCTCCGAACCTCAAAGGGAGAGGTGATCGGGCGGGTGTCGCCCCTTTGCACTATAGTCATACTCATAAACTAAGTGTGACTATCAGGTGAGGAATATTAAGAAAACCAAAACTGGGACCCAAAAGTGTGTGAGAGAGAGACTGTTGTGATAGCAACTATTATGAGATGAAATACAGATAGGTTTCTTATCACATATTATTTGTTCAAGGGGCAAGGGAAACAGTGCTGCTCTGAAAAATAATCTAATGATTGCTAAACATGTTAAATTTGAGAGTATAACAAGCAATGCTTACTCAATTTCAGAGTTTTACATTAGGGAAATAATTTAGAAAAATGTGGGACATTTGCAATTTTTGAAAAAAAGTTCGGCTTTTTAAAAAAAATAGCATTGCCAATTACTGAGGAATATGCACCTTTATGATCGTTATTTTATGCAATTCTATTATTGCTTTTGATTTTCCAAAAATGTTCACAAGTTCTGTTCCTGAGAAAAGTTTAGAAACATATTTCTCAAATCTTGTTCTATGAAGATGTACAGGGAGTGGGGGCAGGGAGTCAATATACAAATATACCATGTCAAGAGTTCGAAAGAGTGCAAAATTATATTCCAGACACTGAGCTTTATCTCACCTTGTAGTAATAATGGGCATTGCCTTAATGTTAAGATATATAAAGCCAAGGCAGCATAAGTAGCTTGTATTGACTTGGTTGCTGAAGCATCCTTTGCAAAAAGAAGGGATCAGGATTCCTTATACCACACTCTATTTATTGTTGCTGCGCTCCCAAAATGTAATGCTACCAGTAAGATGACATTGCTATATAGTGGCTAAAAAGCCTTTAATTTTCCCCATGCTGCCCCATCTCATTCTGCCATTCTGCCTCCCATTTCTGTGCTACATATTTGTACTTCCATCATTTTACTGTTCTACATCAAGCAAAAACTTACAACCTACAAGTACAATTCTCCACATAGTGGTCCCATGTAACCTTCATTTAATTCAATATGTAGGAATTGTCCTATTTATATGGAAAGATGTGGATTTTTCTAGTACTGAGTATTACAAAGCTGGATGGAGGATGGAGGAATCCTAAACAGCAGATAACAAATAACTAGCATTGATATGTAGATTTCAATTAATAACTCACAATAACCAGTTGATACTAACAACATCTTAACAAATAGGCTTATAAAATGTATGACCGTATGTAAAATACACTGTATAACAATGAAGCCTTTGCTACAGATGCTACAATAACAACACGTTACTGCAAAGCTGTAGTTACAGGCAGGAATGACTTATGCAGCATCAATACAATGTGCAGGAAATCTTGAAGATTTTTTTAAAATGCTGTTAGAGAAGCAAATTTCAGCTTCCGACATATTGTTACTTTCCAAGGATATCCTTAAGGCAACAAAATTGTGGATAAAATTAGTCAATTGTGGACAACTCCTTACTCAATATAACAAAACAACTCAATGCTTAGTTGGAATTTGATTACGAGCAAGATCAACCTCTACATATCAAGTGCAAAACACAGGGTGAGGGTGGGAAAAATAGAAGGCAAATTCCAAAAGGAAGTGACATTTGACAATTTCTTCTACTGTTCGGTTTCTCCTCTTCTTCAGCAAATAGCCATAGCTCGTGAAGGAGACTTACTGACCAAGGAAAGGTTATGCTGTGGCCTGTCCATGTTTGAGGTTATCCTGACCCGCATTCGGAGCTACCTTCAGGACCCCATCTGGCGTGGACCTCCCCCAACCAATGGTGTCATGCATGTTGATGAATGTGTGGAGTTTCACCGACTCTGGAGTGCCATGCAGTTTGTATACTGCATTCCTGTGGGAACAAATGAATTTACTGCTGAGTGAGTAGGCCCTGGACTGCACTGTGCTGAATCTCATTTACATTTTATAGATATTATGCACAGATAGTAAAAGCTCTTACCTGCTCAAATTTTGGGTTTACCTGGGTGAATTCAAGCCACTGTATCCATTGCCTAGATCTTTTGTTGGATCTAATTATGAGTCAAGAAAGGAAAAGATTCCCCAGTTGTATATTCCTAACACCTCTTGCTTCATTGGGCTGAGGCCATAGCTGAGTACCAGTTTTTGCTATATTAGCTTTTAAATACACTCACATTTGATTTTATTATAAAATTAAGCAACCAGGAATTAGATAACTTGGGAATAAGTAAATTAATAACACAGTGTCAGTCTTTTATTATCTAAGCAATTTCTACTATGCTCTTTTTGCCCTATAGACAGTGTTTTGGAGATGGTTTGAATTGGGCCGGTTGTTCAGTCATAGTTCTTCTGGGACAGCAGCGTCGCTTTGATCTTTTTGACTTTTGTTACCACCTGTTGAAAGTGCAGAGACAGGATGGGAAGGATGAAATCATAAAGAATGTGGTAAGTCTGAAATTGAGCAATGATATATGAAGATGCTTTGGCAGGTCATACTGTTTTTCCATCTGGCTCTTTCTCAATTTTATCCAATACTGTCTAATCTGACTGGTAGTTCACTGGGGTACCGTGCTGAGATTTTCACATCACATCTTCTGATACCTGGAGTAGAAGATGATTTTATACAAAATCAGACCATTAGATGATTTAGTATTGTTTGCAGTGACATGCAGAGGTTCACCATGGCTAGTAAACAGATCAAGGTGGAAATTGTGCCACATTTTGTACTCCCATCATCCTTATCCAATATAAATAGTAGCAAGGAATACTCACAGTTCAACAATATCTGGAGAACTGCACCATTCCTATCATTGATTTAAATAAGAATTACCATCAGAGACATCAATGGGTAGCTGAAGTATTACTCTCCATATGAAGTTAGGAGGGACTAGCATCAGCCATTAATTTGTTTTGTGGCTTCCATCAGCAGCAAGTTTGCTGTAGAAATGGAGGCCAGTTGCTTCAACCATCTTTATTTTACTTGCCTTTTCTTTCTCTCTTTCTTTTAATCTCCAGCCACTTAAGAAAATGGCTGACCGGATAAGGAAGTACCAGATTTTGAACAATGAAATTTTTGCCATTTTGAACAAGTACATGAAGTCAGTGGAAACAGACAGCTCTACAGTTGAGCATGTGCGTTGCTTCCAACCCCCCATCCACCAGTCCTTGGCTACCACCTGTTAAGTGGTTGATATTGGAAATGCAGTGTATTTGTGGCTCTCCATCTGAAATCATTGAAAGGACCCAGTGAAGACCTGGAAGGGAAAACCTGAGAACACAGATCTGACAACAGTGCAGATGAAGATAGACCCAATAGACAAATAGGCATTTTCAAAAAAAGACCTAGTTTAAATGCATGCCCTTCTGTATCCAGTGTGATGAGGAGCAAAAAGTTTTTTTTTCTTCTTCTATGGTTTCTTCAGAGTTCATGATGACCCGGAACCACACAGTCAAGCACAAACTGTATGGTTTTTAAAATTCATTGTTATGAGGATTCCAACTGAAGTGGCCAGTGTTTCAAAATGTTGCAAGTCTTCCTCTGATGTAAGTGTTTAACACTTGGACATAATGATTTCCCCTTCCAGGTGATGCAGAAATGGTTTATTGACTCATGCAAAGAAAATCTTGTTGTATGGAGAACGTACCCATCTAGACTCAGTGAGGGTTTGGTATTGCTGTGTTTTCTCCTATTTGCTAAGACAAATTCACAATGTCCCTGATTTTCTGCTCACTGTCATTTCTGTGGTGGACCTACAAAGTCAAAGATGATAATCCTGCATTTTATACCAGTTCTTGTTAACCATGGATTATCTGAACCTGGCTTAATTCATTATTCTCTGGTAGTAAGATGATAGAGATCCTGGAGAAGAGGCAGAGCTTGCCATGGCCTAGACCCCTGGTGAAATATCAGTGTCAAAATACAAGTCAGAACTGATCAGGTCAGAACCAGTACATTCTTTCAGAAATCTGAGCATTGGTACATGTACAGTTGACATGCTGTATTCACAGATTTAACCATCCATAATTTGAAAATATTCCAAAAACCAAACATTGATTTTGCCATTTTATATAAGGGATACAATTTTACAATATAATGAGACCTGAGCATCCAGGGATTCTGGTTTCCATAGAGAACCTGGAAGCAAATCCTAGAAGGTACCAAGTCCCAATGTAGCTCATGATTTCCTTACCTCCCCCCCCCCCTTGGAATAAATGATATAAAATAATTAGAATAAGCTGAACATTTTTATATTCTGGGAAATTTGGTAATTAGTTCAGGATTGCATATATAAACAAGCATTAACAACGTTAAGATTACTCCCAACAGGACACTTGGTCTGTGACTATGTGTATACCTTCCACAGACAATACAGTTAACCAGCTCTCTATCTCAACCTTGTAAAAAAAAGATAAACATAAGAAACTCTATATGAATAATTCATAAAATCATGGGAGCTTAGAGCTCTCCCACTATTGCTCTTGATACCAGATTACATCTGTCAATGTGCCCCAAAAGATTAGTCTCTGTGTTTTGATGAGGATATACTACCTACCCATAAAAGATGTAAATAAGTAACATGACTCTCATGAGAACAAAATGCAAGCTTGTTGAGACAAGACTATATACTTCAAGCAAATAAGTCATGCAACAATGCCACAGAAAAATGGAGCCAATGAACTAGTCACTACCAAGTGTGGTGGGACTGCTGAACTTTGATGTGGTGATAAACTGGACTTGAGATTGTAGAACAAGTTTGGTGACCTAAACATAACACTATTATGTCAAAAAAGGACAAGAAATAAGCCTTAAGGGAATAATTAATTTGTAAGCCACCTAAGTAAAATTCAGTCTTGAAAGTTGCTCCTGGTTAGGGAGGAGAATTTCAGAAATGCTATTCTCTAAAGTTTAGATGACTCAAATTTAATGTTCTTCAAGAAAAGGACAGGATTTTATTTCACATCTCATCCTCAAATTAATTCCTAAATTAAGGAAGTACTTAAAATGGTACTCGTTTTCCTTATTAGATGTTTAAAGCAAAAGGCACGTTGCACCAGAAAGTATTACAAGTGCAAGGACGTAGCCCAGTTAATTTCATGGAGGCTTTTTTGAGAGAACTTCTTGGGGAACTATACATCAGAATATTACAAAAGAGTTCTGTTTTTATCCTATTAAAAAAACAAAACAAAAGATGGTCTCTTTCAGTGTCAGGACAGACCTCAAATTATCTAGCTCGCTGAAGTTTTTTTTTTCCTTCACCGTACCTCAACTAAGCCAGTCTCCTTGCACCTGATTTCAGATGCTTCAGTCTGGGATTTTTCTTCTAACTATATAACTTTAATTGCTTTAATTGCTGATATTTGATGGATTAGTGACAGGTGTTGTGAATTTAAGAGACCACAAACAGGTTTTTCCTCTTCTTGGGTGAGAAAGCATGGGAGGTATAAACATGTTAATTTTCTCGCTCTGTCCCAAGAGAGAACATTCTGTTTGAAGGAGCTGCAGTAGCATAAAATTGTGAGCATGGGCTATATTCCTTTTCCAAATGCCTTTGTGCCTTTAAAGACATGTGTTTGTACAGTGACGCATTAAAATATGACCCCACAGAGCCCATTGAACATATTTACCAGTTATGAGTAGTGAAGAAGTTAGTCAAACTAACTGCAATATATTTTTAACATTAGCATGATAGGCATGGTTCAGAGAAGTCGCATAAAAATTGACTCTGGCAAAAGCAATGAGGAAAAGAGCTGAAGAGTCTAAAGCAGTGGTTCTCAACCTGTGGGTCCCCAGGTGTTTTGTCCCACAACTCCCAGAAATCCCAGCCAGTTTACTAGCTGTTAGGATTTCTGGGAGTTGAAGCCCAAAACATCTGGGGACCCACAGGTTGAGAACCACTGGTCAAAAGGGAGAGAAAATCCTCTTTCTTATTCTAGCTCTCTGTGGAAGAGTTCAGGGGCTTCAGGATTTTTGTGGGGAGCAAGTGCAGTCTTATCTGTGACTTAACCTAATTATCATCATACCACCTAGCAGCTCATGACTTCAAAAGAAAGTTATGCCAAACGCGAGTATATAAATATTCCTGAATTAAGTTTATTAATTTATTCAGAGCTTAGAACACTGAGTTTGGCAATGAATTTGATCATGTTAAACATGAGAAATTCATTTATTACTGCCAACACTAATAACTGAAATCATTTGCCTGGTTGTGTTACTGTTAGCTAACTTTTGTTGAGGATGTTAGTTCAGGTTCTCTCCATCATATTTACAGGCGACAACATGGAGGTTATCAGTGTCAACTCAAAGGGTTTATGCTGTTGCCAGCTTTTTCAAAAGATCTGGCATTTTTTTTTTAAATTTGCTTTCTTCCACCCTCATTTTTACCAGATAGACTACAAAACACATATTATTGTTGCCAAGGAATGTTGGCGCTCAGCCATGTCTAGTAACTGTCAGGTTGGAAAGTTTGTCATCTACACCTCACAATATCATACACTTCACCCAAACTTGACATGCCTTGTTTGTTTAAAAGTTAATGAGGAGTTATGCATTTCAGTGAGAAGACGCTGATCCACTACAAGTGCAGCAATAAGTGGATAACCACAAGGATCAGGCCTCTCTACATTTTCCTGCAACTGAATTGCTGCATCATTTCTACTTCCCCACTCTCAACCAAGAAGTCTAATCTACCAGGATCAGGGGGAGACCTGCAACATATTTCATTTAAATGATCAAGCATCTGACAAGCCCACTCTTTTCTGTGCCTTGTTTTTTGTGTGACCCTAAGACAAAGCTGTCATGGGCTTTTCTTGGCAAAATTTCTTCCAGGAAGGTTTGCTTTTGCTTTCTCTGAGGCTAGGAGAGTGCAACTTTCCCAAGGTTACCCAGTGGATTTCCATGACCAAATGGGAATAGTCTCAAGCCAGTGCTCAAACCACCACAACATGTTTCTTTCTTTTTCTGCACCTATTTTACCTTAGTTGAGAGAGAAGGGAGGTACACAACAAAACAGAAGAGAAGGGAAAAGGGGAGAGGAAGACAAGAGAAAAGGAAAGGACAAAGGAAGTTGAGAAAAATTTTGAACTTTAATTATCCTAGCTCATAGCACTCTGTACGTATACAAAATTATAAAGAGCAATTTGTCCCAAATAATTTTACACAAGATTGTATTTTATACATCAATATATAGTAGAAATCAGGACAGAATATAACCAATCAAGGAAGAGAAGTTTGATACTGAAGAGTGCCACAAATGCATCTTGGCTCCCCTAAAGACTCCAAAGATATTTCTCCAATCAAAGGCCACTGGGAGAGAGAGAGAGAGAGAGAGAGAGAGAGGCCTACCTTTCAAATTTAAAAGACCTGATATTTTGAAAAAGCCCAGACTGCTTGAGAGCCTTGGTCCCCAAACAAATCATTCCTATCCAACCCATTCCAAAAATCACACCCTTCTATAATTTGATTGATGCTTCTTTTGCGCTACATAATTCAAGAAAGTAATCAAATTTCTTCCTTAATTTTTTTCCTTTTTTCTCCTGTCTTCCTCCTTGTAGCCTTCCAAATTAGTCTAATGATAGAACCGTGTGATGCATTTCCTCCCATCCTATTTTTTTCTCCTGAGGCAGTAGTTTTCCTAGTTTACTGAATCTGACAATGAAAGAGGAACCCATTCTAATGAATTTGAAAAAAAAAGATGAGCATGATTAAGCAAATCAATTTTTATTCAACATTAATTGGGGAATCTAGAGAGTTTGAGAAAATTACCAGAACCACCAAATGAAGAAAATGATTTAATTCCAAACTCTGGCTTCATTATATGTGGGGTTGTTGGGGTGGGGGTTGAATGACCTGTGGAATTGTAAAGAGTTGATAAGTCCACTATTTTTTGTATAAAGCTTATGAAATAAAATCCACATTTTTATATTGGTGGCAATTGTTTACCAGTGTAATATACCTACAGCTCTAAACTTGGTTAGGAAAATGACTAAAATCCAGAGGGAAAATGCCATACTATGGATTATGCCACACATTAAGTGCATTTTATTTCACAGCCTGTTTTCAATACAGCAGTTGGATAGGTGACTGTAATTTTAACAATTATATTGCTTGACAGAGGTGTACATGCAGCAAATACTGTGGCTACAAAGAGGTTCTTGATTATGCCCTGGTGAGATTTTGTTATTTATGGGGGAAAGCAGTGTTGTATATATATACAGAACTGAGAACCAAGGAGTAGCTAGCCACAGGGTAACAATTTTAGTCAGATATATGTAGGGGCAATGCTGGGTATGTTTAATGCCTTTTATAGAGCTTTTACAATAATTTGTCCAATGTTGGGCCTCTATGAAAAAACTTTTCCCAAGATACTCTGTCCTGTGAATTCCTTACCAACATAATAGCCTTCCTGGGATGTTCTTCATGTGATCATTCTGGGTACTTCCTCCCCTCAGCTACATAAGTAAGCTGTGTAAGGGAGAGAACTAGGATTTCCACCTTACAGAAAGGTATAATAGTCCAAGTCTAAATACAGCAATTATAAAATGCCTCCAAGCTCAAAGTGGCCACCTTACAAAAGAGAGGTTGCTGATGCAGCTCAGCTTTGTAGGATGAGAATTCTGTTGTTTTTCTACATTGGGCATGCCTGGATCATTACATCTGTTCTGGTGTAGACTGTGGGATTCATACAGAAATATGGGGGTAGGGGGCACCTATAATTCTTACTCATGCACACTAAAAATGTCAGTGTTCTAACTCAGAAATGCACCTCCCATTTTAATTTGGAATGAAACAATATTTCTTTCAGGCAGTTGGGAAACATTGATCTGTGACCCACATCTTTTCCCTTTTAGGTGGGAATGGACATTATTTTGAATAAGTCGACAGGAAGGGATTAAGCATTGCCTGCCCTGCTGCTTTTCTGTTCTTAACTGTTAAAAAAACAAATGTGGACAGGAGAAAGAAGCAAACCGCATGTACCTTATAGATTGGCTTTTAAGTGTCGCTAGTGAGAAATTTCTTCATGATATATTTGGAAAGATATGTCCTGGCAAAGTCATACAAAGTTAAAACAGGCATGAGATAAACTTGTTCAAACTTTAAGCAACAGTTATGAACTGCCACAGTCATTTTATAGCTTGTCAGCTTTCAGTTTGGTTTTCATGACTTGACATAACATCCAGACAAACACTCTGCACTTCAGCCATGTTCCCTTCCTCAATAGCAGTTCTCAGAAGTATCAGTGGTCCTATAATTTCTCTGTGTTACTCTGGTTTTAATTGATATTTGTCAATTTAAAAACATGAGCAAAGTGGGTTCTTTTTTTAAAAAATGACACAAAATTTTGCGTAATACTTCCAAATGTACCATATTTGTATGAAGAATTGTCCCAAGAATTTTTGTACAATGAATTTGCATTTATTTATGGTGCAGTATATTTACAGTAGTGGTCAACTATCGTGTTTGGATCCATGAATCATATTTGCTATGCAGCAGAAAATGGTAAATATTGTTTTGTATGTTTTGTTCTTTTATTGTTAATCAACAGACATCTTTCACTTCTATTCAAAATGCTTCTGTAATAAGACGCCCTGTGAGTGGTGACAGTGACCTGTCTTGCAACTTCCAACATTGTGTACAGCAAAGCTGGGATGAATCCTCTTAACAAAGGAGGAAAAATAAACATTCAGTGGTGTAAACAGAAAGGCCAAGAATTGTCTGTTGGGTATGGTAGAAACTTTAAAGAGGCCTGATTCCTGTATGAAACTGCTGTGAGTGAAAATAACAGGCTGCATTAATGACGACCAGAAATCCATCCATCTTAAATATATTGGGAGCAGAAAGCTGGCAATGGTGGCAATTGGACCACTGAAGGAGAACATGAATAAAAAGAAGCTGAGTACATGGTTTTAATCTGTCTTCACTGTTCATGATAGAAGTATATACCTAAACAAATATTTCCAAAGGAGTGGGTTGATGTGACAAATGGTGGTCACAAGAGACATTTGATCTCTCAACAAATTAATCATGAGGTTCAGATAGCAATGCAGTGTGAGAGAAGTCCATGTGCAGGAACACATCACAAATAAAGGACCTCATTGTATATTCACACACTTATCCTTCAGTCCATAGGGGAAGCAAGGCAGGGCCAACATACTGGTCTCGGGTTATAAAAAGCTAGACATATAATAATGACCAGTACCTCAAATTGGCCAGGTATCTGGAGAAGAAAATGCTTCTGATTCATGTCCATTAGGAGGTGATTCACATTGGAATGCATGTCCCTTGTTGATTGATGGGAGATCTCGTGAATTTCCAAGAGTTTTCTTGGACAATGAATACTAACAGATAATTTGTCATTCCCTTCCTCTGAAATATAGTCTACAGCACCTTGTGTTTCCAGGACATCTCCTTTCTGAGTATTAACCAGACATCTAATAATAATAATATCCATTTATTACCTGCCTCTCCTCATGGCTCAGTTCAAAGACATCACTATAAAATCCATACAATAAAATGCACATATTAAAACACATTACTATAAAATACATATATTAAAATACATGGTACAAAGATTAAAGTAGAATATAATGTAAATTTAAATTTTAGAGTTTAAAATTGGGAGGCTCACAGGAAGAGATAAAGCTTCGCTTCTGTCTTGAACTCTTGACAGCTCATTTAGCTGTCAGAGCTCTTCAGGCAGATTGTTCCACAGTCTTGGGGCAGCTGATGAAAAGGTCCTCTGGGTAATGGTTGGCAGTCATGTTCTGGCAGGCTGGAGTAAATGCCCCCAGAGGACCTACGTGTCTGGGGCAGATTGTACCAGAGAAGGCAATCCTGTAAGTAACCTGGACCCAAACCATATAGGGCTTTAAAGGACAAAGCCAACACTTTGTACTTTGCCCGGATACTAATTGGTAACTTGTGGAGTGATTTTAGTATGAATGAAATATGCTCCCTTCTAGGTGTTTCTGTAACTTGTCTGGCTGCCATGTTTTGAACTAGAGTTTCCAAACTTGGTACAAAGGTAGCCCAATGTAAAGTGCATTGCAAGTCCAACCTTGAAGTTACCAGTGCATGCACTATCATCTTTAGGTTCTCTGATTTGAGAAAGGAGTGCAGCTGGCATATCAGCTGAAGCTGGTAGTACAAGCTCCTGACCGTCGCATCTACTTGAGCTGATATTTGGAGATACGGATCCAAGAGTATGTCGCAGCTATCGTGTCGCTGCTTTCAAGTTGGGGTTGATTCCAAGCATCCAAACCCCCTTTGCAGAAGCTGCGCCCCGTTGCCCAAGGAGAACAACCAACAGAAAACAAACTGTCTTCCAATAAAGAAATGTTTATATACAATAGTCACAAAAATAGTTTCAATCCTCAATCCTCCAGCAAACCTTTCTTCAGCCTCTTCAGCAATCTCTTCCTCTTGCTCTCATCTCTTCATTACTCTAGCATTCTCATTACTCATTCTCATTACTCATTCTCTTCTCTCCATTCTCTACAACACACAGTGCTTAGTCCCAATTTGTAGCATCTAATCTATCACAGTTAGCTAAACAGTTGCTCTTCATGCAATGCTTGGACATGGTCCTTACAAATACTTACTCACTTTTTCACTTAAGAAATGACTCAATTGATATAAAACTCTGACAGAGTACTCCCAAGCTGTGAACACAGTTTTTCAGGGGGAATGTAACCCAATTCAGAACCAGTTGGCATGCCACCACCCCCTGGTTAAGACCATTAATGGCAAGCATCTCTTTCCTATCTGGATTCAGTTTCAATTTGTTTGTTTTTTCATCTAGTTCACTGCCTTCCCGAGTTATTCATTCAACCTTTAGTCAAGGCTGTTTTGGAAGGCATGGAGAAATATATTTGGGTGTCATTAGAATACTGATAGCACCCTGCCCCATGCCTCCAGATAAATTCTCCCAGCAGAATTTGAGGAGGCACGAGTGGAGGGTGAAAGAGAGAAACGTGCCAGGAGGAAGGCGCGTCAAGCCAACCCCGACCGGGACCGCCTTCCACCTGGAAACCAATGCCCTCACTGCGGAAGAAGATGCAGAGCAAGAATAGGGCTCCACAGCCACATACGGACCCACAAGGAAATCCATAATGGAAGACTATCTTACTCGTCCAACAAGGGATCGCCTAAGTAAGTAAGTAAGTAGCTGGATGATGTGATGATGATGATGATGATGATGATCCCACCCACCCACCAGTCATCCAAATTGTCCCTTCTCCCGGTGCTAAATATTGCCTTCTTCTCTTGAAAAATTTCTGGTACCCTTGGGATACATAAGGAATTTCATTCTTATGGGGTTTTGAAAATCTAATTTACACCAACAAAAATAACAATACAAAATGCAGTACAACACCCATATATATGGAACCAAAATATGTACCTCTGTCATTCAAAAATAATAGGGCTCATTATTATCCACAGTTTTAGATATCAGGAAATGGGGGTAGGATGGGATTAACTAAATACATCATGGTATAGAACAGTGGTTCTCAACCTGTGGGACCCCAGATGTTTTGGCCTACAAGAATAGAGCTCCACCATCACCTATTGACCCACTGCCAAGATACTGCACTTGGAGGACCATCATCCTCGGGCTATGAGGGATCGCGTAAGTAAGGCCTACAACTCTCAGAAATCCCAGCCAGCTTGACATCTGTTAGGATTTCTGGGAGTTGAAGGCCAAAGCATCTGGGAACCCACAGGTTGAGAACCACTTATATAGAACTATAGAACTGGAAGTTAACATAAGGGCTATCTTGACGCAAACAGATATTTTTTCAACCATCCCAACATATAACTAATTATTCAGCACAGTCTTAATATATAGCATTGTTTTTCACCAGTTCTTTGATCTTTTATTACCCAAATGTAAAGAAAACATCTTTGCATTATTGATGTGGAAACCCTGGTAGACTTGAGATATCTAGTGTGCTATTTATAAAAGCCACCCAGGATCCCACTTTGAGAAAAAGGCAGGATATAAATTCTCAGGCAGACATTGCTATCCTAACTGCTGATAGGATCACAATGAGTGGCTCCCGCAGCTCAGTAAACATGCCTTTCCCTTCCAAGAACTGTTAATTACTTGGTTCTTTGAAATTCCTCACAACCTCTGAGGATGCCTGCCATAGATACAGGTGAAACGTAAGGAGAGAATGCTTCTAGAACATGTCCAAAAAACCTACAACAACCCAGTGATTCTGGCCATGAAAACCTTCGATAATACAATTCCTATTTGTTCAGGATATTGTGCTATAATTTGACAGTATGAAACAAGTTATGGAAGCATTGAAGGAATAAAACAATGGAAATAAACAAATAGAACAGGTAAAAGAGCTTACAAAGAGGACACCATTACAACTCCAGAGCCCAGAAGACCATTTCTTACTGATCTATTTTTAAACAATGACCCTTGGAGTTGCCAACTTTTGAGAACGCATATTTTACTGCTAACATTAGATTGCTGATACCTTAACTAACTCCATTATGTCTCCTTCTACGCAGTGAAACCTTCTTTGGACATCAACCAGCAAACCTTCTTTGGACATCAACTGGCATTCACCTGTACTCCAGATTCTTGCAGTTACCTCAGACTTGCAGCACCCTGTTTGCAAACTAGTAATTCAGGTGTAGCTGCATTGCTGAGAAACCAACGTACTGTCAAGAAGTTTTACTGGCAAAGATGGGGTCTGTTTCACAAAGGAGTCATTTGAGAAATGACTCAAGTCCATCTGGATTTAACTGGATGTTTGCTGCACACATTCCCTTTCTCTTAAAGACTGCATCAGCAGGGTTTAGCCCATATGTTACCTGCACCATTAATGACATCTGGGCAAGACAAATTGCCTAATATGGGCAGGGAAGAGCACTAATATATTTTCCCTCCCACTGGGCATGTAAATATAGAAAATGTATCACAGTTACCCTTCTATATCTTATCTACAACTTCTGTATCCACAGATTCAACCATTCACAAGTTGAGATATATATATATATATATATATATATATATATATATATTTAAAATATCCCAAAAGCAAACCTTGATTTTGCCATTTTATATAAGATACACCATTTTACTACGCCATGGGGCTAGTAGGGGAGGAAGATCCAAAGGCCTAAATCCAAATCTAGTCCCAACTGCAAGGAAACCCCATTGGATCAATTATTGAATGAAGCTTAGAAAAACCCAATGCAAATATACAAGCTTAACACTGACTAAGGTTTAACAGGTAAGGCTTTTCCTTCATCTGCTGATACATTTGAGGAGAAGAGCGGGGAGCATCTCAGGTCCCATATAAATGGGTCATATCATCTGAATTGACTTTGTGGCATCAACATGACACACGAAACCAATTCACCCCCCAATGATGGGCAAGGCTGTTTAACATGGTCTTGCCCCTCATTAGCCAAAGTTAGATAATGCTCCAGAGCTTCCTCAAAGCTCCAGAGCAGTTCTTCACTTTGGGGACATGTAAACAGTTGGGCTGGTTCTGTTGCTGTTTACAATGGCCTTCACACTTTCCAGGGTTCTGCTTATTGTCATCATCTTGTCACCATCTTTTTTTAAAAAAAATCTTTATTGTATTGTTAACAACTATTTGTAATACATTTATCTTTATATTGCTTTAGTTTCAATACATTTTTCTTGTCACTTTGATGGTGACAAGATCATCTTGTC